TGGGTAGAATGCGAGAACGAGACTTCTGAGTCCATCAAGGAACACAGGGCAATAGAGTTTCTGCTTTCGGGATTTTTGATGGATTTAGAGTTTGAGAGCACGAACCCTTCGATTGATTTTATGGGTCTGGGACCCATAGACTTCTGGGGGTCTATGTCAATCATGTGAATGCCAGGGAAACTAAATTCGCCTTCAGTGAATGAAACTTGAGGGGAACACGAGGGCGTCGTCACAGTGCTCAGAGACAGCTAAAAATAGGAATTCTGTTCTTTTCTTTGAGGGAATTGAGAGCCGCATTCCGAACCGGAACTGAGGCAAAGTCGCTCATCCGTCAGTGGCCGAAGCACGTTTCCTTGGTTTCTTGGGGATTTCCTCTGTTTTGAACAGGGTTAGACATCAGCGTATGCATGAACTCATTTGAGGTGTGAGGATCGCGAGCCTATTTTGTCTCCAAGATGGGGGGGGGGGGGGATGAGAGGTTCAGCAGTTTTTCGTGGCGAGAGGGAACATCGATTTCTGGAAGGGATCTCATTTTTTCTTCGTCGAATGCGAGGTTCGGCTGGAAGGAAAAACAAACAAGGCCGTCAACTAATTATTCATGAGAGGAATGGCATGAAATTTGCATAAGTTCTCGCGGTTTCTCCCTCCTACGACGTGCACTTTCGCTACTGCGTGGTTTAACCTCGAAATCCTTGCAGAATCGGGAATCGATTGAATTTTACCTGGCCCAAATGGACCCAGTTCCCTTTCACGGAGTCCTTTGGAACGGAAAACGTCGGAAAATCGGCAGGTTCCCAACTTGGTTTCTGGGCTAGGAGCAAATGGTGTCCATGCTCTCTTCAGACTAGATGCCTCTTAATATGCCTCTCGTGGATTCGTGTTAGCTCCAGGGACTTCGTTGCCCTGCAGTGGATTATGCGGCAGCTTAGTGCATTCTGGGGTATACTATACAGGATTAGGCTGAGGAATATTGCACGTTTTGCCATTCTCCTAACGAATAACTGTGTTATAGCTGTTTGCATTCCCTTTTGACCACAACTTAAATCTAACGAAAGCAGAAAAAAAACACGCATTGCTCGAGGTGATCAAGCTGAAAACTGAAAAGAACCACTAAAAAGAAAAGAAAAACTAAGGGAAATCGGGATCCTCGCATCCCGCGCCTGCAATCGCTTCCACGGTTTCGCTGTTCCTGGAGGCAGCCGCGGAAGCAGCATTTCGGGCGCGTCGCCATCAACTTTCACCCGCCGACCGGGACGCCAGAACTTCTCTCTTTCGCCTTTAGTATGTTCGTCGTAGAATGGATTAAACTTCCCCACCTTCTTCGTGGCGTTTTGAGAACATCAAACTTGAAAATGGTAATATACGACGCGAAGCACTGTAATAAACCGGCGACGGGAATGGTAACGCGACAACCTATGACACACGATCGTTGCCGGCAGTCACCATAGCTACAACTACCGTAGCCGACAAGGCCTCTTACTCTCATCGTTGGTTGTGAGCACACAACCCGGAAAGGCATTCGGTAGAAAGCTATATATAACTAACGAAATTAGGCCCCATAACGACAGAATAACGCTCTTGGAACGCGCTGAGGAGTACGAGATGCCAGAATGCAGAGGTTTCATCGACTACGAAAAGGCTTTCGACTCCCTCACCACCGCATCGCTGCTCAGAGCACTGAAGATGCAAAACATCGAGGCCGCCTATGTCGACCTCATCGAGGCCGCCTATGTCGACCTCATCGAGGCCGCCTATGTCGACCTCATCGAGGCCGCCTATGTCGACCTCATCGAGGCCGCCTATGTCGACCTCATCGAGGCCATTTGCTACAAGGCGACGGCATCTGTCCGACTGCACCAAGAAACGGAGAAGTTCAAAATGGAAAAAGACGTTCGCTAGGGTGATACTATCTCCCCGAAACTCTTCACGCTGGAAGAAGTCTTCAAGACCCTTGCCTGGGAAAAGAAAGGAATCAAGGTTAACGGAACTTACTGGAGCCACCTGCGCTTTGCCGACGACGTCATCCTCTTCGAATCGACACCCGAAGAACTAGAAAACCGAGCGAAGGAACTCGCAGAAGCCAGCAAAGACGCAGGCTTCAAGATGAACCTTGCCAAATCTCAAGTCGTGTTCAAGAAACACGTCAGACCCAAACTGACGACGATGACAACAAGCTTCAACAAGTTGACTACTACATCAGCAAATATCTTCAGAATTGCCGGAGAAATCGACAGAAGAGACGGGACGGAGCCCCTTCGGAACGCCTCGATCTTCAACGGCGACCCGCCTATCAGCCCCGAGAGAAAAATCTCCGACCGAAGCGTACTTCCAAGTTCCCCCATATGGACGCGAGACATGGACACCGACGGCAAAAACGATGAAGAAACCACGGACGACTCAACGCAGCACGGAGAGATCCATGCTGGGAGTCACAAGAAGAGACGGGAAAAAAAAAAAGCGAAATGGGTCAGAGCACAGACGAAGGCGAGCGACATCATGGAAAGAACGAAAAAAACTGAAATGGCAGCGGGCTTGCCGCATTGCAAAAAGAAGAGACCGGCGATGGACGATGGAAATCCTCAACTGGATACCAAGGGATAAGGAGAGACCTAAAACACGAGATGGATTGACGAAATCGAGAAATTCGCTGGACCAACGTGGAAACGAACAGCCGAGGAACGGGAAAAGTGGAAGCTTCTTGGGGAGGCCTTCATCCTGCAGTGGATCGAGAGGGGCTGATGATGATGATGATGATGGTGATGATGATGATGATGATGATGATGATGATGGTGATGATGATGATGATGATGATGATGAACGACAGAATGGTAGGACTTTTTGAACTTCCAACCCAATAGTTATCCCCACCAGGTTATATAAACTTTTGAATGAGACCTATGCCGCAAGTGACACAACTTCCGATTACCAAATAGACATGCTTTCAATCAATCACGAGGGGATTCGTTCCGTCTTCAGAGGAACGCCCAATCGTCCGCATGCAAAGTTCCAGCGAGTTCCGCTTCGTAGCCTTAAACGAGACCCGTCGTTCCAATATAAGGGTAGAGTGGAGGAAGATTTTTCGCCGGGATGCGGATCGATTCGATAGGGCCGATCCGACCCGTGCATCGCGAGTGCAGCGAGGCTGACGATCGACTTTCCTGTCGGGTGCGAGCGAATGCGAATTGTGAGCCTTTCAGTTATGAAGCTGAGAGGGCAAAGCGGCCTTTGGTCTGATCGGCAATCGAGTTTCGGGTCGAGTGCGGGTCGTGACGTGCGAGCACACGGCCCGGAAGGTGTTTGGTATGATGCTCTTCTCATTGCCGAAATTTTGCCATATTGCATGACAATGGGACGATATTTTGGACTTTTGATCCAAGAAGTATCGCTTCCGGTCAAAAGCTTTCGATTGAAATCTCGTGAAGATCCGTTCATCCGTCCAGGAGGAGTTACCCCGGAGTGACACCTTAACACAGACCGATTATTTTCTTATGCATCAAGCATATATATCAATATATGGATGAGAGATGACCCAGGCATCGAATTCACACAACCCATCCTTAAGAAAGAGGTTTTCTTTTCAGTCTATAGTGGAATTTTCACGAGTTTCAGATTTCCTGACAAAACCGTCTTGCACGGTTCCCCATGCGGAAGGCATGCTTCGCCACCCTGTGTGCTTGCAAAGAATGCCCTTCAATCTGAACCGTTCCACCCGAAACAGCGTTCCTGGGCCGATCTGCGATGGTCCCTTCGTCCCTCCTTGGGTCGAATACGTCATCAGAGGCCTGGCGTTCTCAAGCTTAGAGGCCTATGCGGGCTGGCCGATTCAGCGCAACGAGATCCGCGGCTCAGAGCAATAAAGTCCGGTAGACGATCGCGTTACGGGTCGGGTGCGGGGTACGATTCGAATCGGGCCGATCGAGTTTCTACTCGGATAAGTGAACCCGTGCAGGCCTCTGATGCGCAAAAAGACAGGAGGACCCACAGAAACCACGTTCACAGCGTACTTTTTCGACTTCTGACCCAATGAGTATCGCCTCCAGGTCGTGATCTTTCGATCGACTCCTCGATTATTATAATCCCTTCATTCGTCTTGGAGGAGTCACCCGGATTGACGGTCAGATGAGCCTCTCATGTACATGGATGGATGAACGGATATTGCCCAGCGCCAAGCACAATTATATTTGGTTCGTCGAGGACTGACCCCATCACCATCGCACCATGAACACGAGGAACGCTAGCGAAATTTTCCGTCAGTGAGTGCATAGTGCAGCTTGCCTTGGAATCCCGCCCACTAATTTTGCCTCCTTACTTTTCGGGGCATCATCCCACGATTATTTCCGCATCAAAGGGAACTTCCATCGTCCATAGAGGTGGTAACTACGTTAGGTACAGGACTTGGCATTTCAAGCATGCCGCTCCAAAATACTTAAATATATAAATTGATGGGGTATATGTTTAGCCATAATTAGTCCAGCTTTCGTCCCAATTAGTCCCATTTCAATGATGATTGTTCGTTCTGATTCCTTCACTCGTGCGAGCTCATGGCACGTCGAGTTGTTGCGCATATCAACGTGGTCAATGATATACTAAGGAACGTTTGCAAAAATTGTATGCAATTCTTTCTCGATTGCATTCTAATTCAAATTTTCTCATGTCGTAATACATGGAATTGCTGGAGAGAATTTTAAATTAGCCTCTCTTAGAAAACAAAAAGTTCACCTTGAAACCGCCCTCGAATAAGGTGAATCGACACCGGCTTCAATCAATTCCGGTAGCATGGTAACGGTGCAAGACTGGCTCTCTCGCGTCAAGGCCCGAGACGTTGCCATAGAAATTCCACAGAGGTTAAATTTGAGACCTCGGTCTGGTGGTAACCCTAGTTACATGTCGATCCGTTGCCATCGCTTCGCAGAACGATGACGTCAATGGTTGCAGGGGAATATAACATTTCTCAACGGTAACCTGAGACGCATTTCCCAAGAGCCCACGAAGCTGCAAGCATGCAGACGTTCAGGGCTACAGGTTTCGGTGTCTTAGGGTTAAAGGGTTTCGTCTTTCTCCTGGTATCCGCCAAGGCGACAGACGGGTCCCTCTGCCCCGAGCCCGAGGCCATTTCACCGTGCGAATGCCTGTCTGATCTCGGCGTGGATTGTTCGGAAGCAAGCAACTCCGAGGAGATATTTTCCGCCTTCAACAAAGTCGTCTGGCCCGACACTCAGCAGACGTGAGTGAATGATTGCGAAATCTCCTCTGCGAAGTTTCATTCCGGAGCTGCAAGGGAGTTTATGAGTGAGATTGAAAGGGCGACGAGACCGGAACGTATATAGGAATGATGTGTTGCAGTTACGAATGGTGTTTCAGCCAACGTACAGATTTGCCATTACTATGTCACGAGAGTAATCAGTCTCCGCCAGATCATAACCATCTAATTTTAAATCGAAACAAAAACTGTGAAACGAACGTCGTTTCGGAAACCTCGAGAATATCCTCTAAGGTTGACGTAACCGCATCGCATGGATATCGGAGGAGAGTAAAACGCGTGAGACGCCATATGTAGCATTTGAAGGGTCTAGCCAGCATTCCTGCTCATGCCGCTTAGAGCGGACAGTCCATTCGTCACCTGTGGAACCACCAGCTGCGAGGGTTGAAGAGAACTGGCTGTTTTAGTCGGTGACCAGAAGCCCGACCCAGGTTGAAAGGCGGCACGTGCGCATTGAGACTAGTTTTCCGGTTGCCGTGGATATATCAGACGGACGGGAAAAAAACCGCCGCGATATCTGCAGTATTCTCCCCAACGTTCACAATGGGAATGTGGGGATGATGAGTTCCATTTGGGATAGGTTACGTTTTTGATTCTCATAAAAACTCAATGGGAACCCGATCGCAAATTATGAAGGGTGGAAACACCTATGCTACGAGACGCACCTGATTCTCCTGCAAGTCCTTCGTATGGCCGGAAGACGTGTATTTTAAATCTGATTGCTGAGGGTGTTAGGGATGGTAAAGGAATATGTATTTTAAACCCTTTTTCAATCACGAATGCAATTTTCCACTTTAGTCAGGTGAGTTATTCATTCATTTGATTCCATTGGTGAAAAAATCTCATTTCGAGAGAAATCCATGAATGGATTTCGAAAATCGCATCAATACTATTGAGCACTCAAAATGGCGGCCTTGCTTCTTTCTACCACTTTTCTTTCTGTATTCAATCATGCATCTAGAATGAAGATTCCACTTGAAATACACAACTAGGGAGTACCAGCCCATGTATAGATCCAACATTCCACTGGCACCGGTACCACTGGAACTATTGTATATATTCACCGCATCTTAACCATACAATCTTGAAATAAATAATAGGTGTCACTGGCTCGGCCTTAGCCTGTATGAAAAGGCATGGACAACTAGACATGTTCTCGATGCTCCGCGCATCCGCTTCACGTGGAAACGGGAGAACAGTATGAAGTGTAGGATGCTAGATACGGCATTTCACGCGTGCGCCTAGCAACCCTGTCTCCGCGACCGGGAGCAGCCACTCTCTCCATTGCCTACTATGGACCTGTCATCCGCGAGGGCTGGAAGGGAAGTGAATGCTTTCGTGGAAGACGGGCACTCCGACACAGGTCGAAAGCTGCGCGTGCGCATTTGGTCTGTTTTCCGGTCGCTATGGTTTTTTTTATGGACAGAGGGAATGAAAAAAAAAAGATGAACAAAGTAAAAAATCGACCGCAATATGCGGAATTTCCAAAAGTACTTATGGGAATGCCAGATGAACACGCCAATGGACCGGAAACGAAGTATTTTGAAGTTCTGCTTTAAACGATGGCTGTGATTTCAGCCTCCCAAGAGACTTACACAAAACGTGACCTCTAATCCTACGCTGCATAGTGTGCAAGATTTAGCACAAGCCCAATGTATGACACGCTACATGCGGCAATTATTTTTCTATAAACAAGTGGCAGGTAAACCTGTTGCAAATCGGAGGAAACGAAAGTCTCTGTTGTCGTGGAAGGAGTCACCATGATCTTCACGGACGACCACCGCAGTAGAACCCGAACGTGTTCGATGAGCGTTTCATTCAAGTTAATTCCCATCGTTCCATTAACATCCTTGGGAACGTTCTATTGACAACTCAAATGTTAACAATTCAAAGGAATGAAAAGCATCAATTGATGAATTCCCTGAAATAATTGAATTTGATATTTAAATGGAAAGGGTTGAATACAACTTTTTATTTTAGGATTCATCCGATATGAAATGAACATTTTTGATCCGTTCTTTTCATCTCTGAAATTCCATTTTCGGTCTAAGTAGAGCCTTACTCACGTGGCTGGGGTTACAACCCATAATGTGGCCGATTAGTGGGATTGAAGGTACTATCTTACATTGGTTGTTTTGGTCTGGTGGAGAAACGGGAGGAAATTCAGTCTTTTGAACAGAAATAGATTTTCATCCTATCCGAAGATATCTCATATTCTGGTGTTAGACCTTCCCTCTACAGAAACCATTTTTTTATGGGAGATACTAGCGGAGCCCCGCGCAAATCGCGCGAAATTACGATGTAGCAATTTCCAGATTTCATATCGCAAATACTTAATATCCTGAAGGTATATGGTCTAAAGGAAAATGTTTTGATCTCCAACGTAGAACAGTAGATATATAACTTTTGTCTCTTGGTTTTCATTGAAAAACATTTTTATGAATCTTAGAAATTGAATTTTAAAAATGCGTACAATATTTTCAACTCAAAATCTATCGGAGCACGACATTCAGTGCATAGGTACCATTGTTGTCTGGGTATCGGCTTCATCGGGGTCCAGGCTCGATCTCCACATTGACGCTTTGCAAGTGCCACACTCTTAAAATATCAAAATGCACCTGATCATGGGAAAAAAAAACAGGCTCAGGAAGGTAAAAACCAAATCTTTGGAATGTTTGCCCTTGGCATTTGTTGATGTCTGAAGCAAAACGGCTAATGGAAACTTGGGAGGAATCGTCGGCCCTTGCTTACCCTTAAGGATTCTGATGACCGTAGCGATTGTACCACGTTTTAAAGTGAGAGGAGATTATAGATTGATGGGGAGGAAGCCCAGCTGGAGTTCTCATGAAATGCTCATGAAATAATTGAAAATGAAAAAATTATTTTGCTCTTCCTTATCCGAGACCTCACTATCGGCCTTATAATAGGTCTGGCATGCTCCATTTCGCATTTTTTTTTAATTTTTTTTTTTAACAGTGAATGAACGATTTAGTCGCCCAAAAGAACGTGTAAACACGAAAACAAATGCGCACGTTTTTGAAAATACGTTATTTTTACCTGTGCTGCCAACCATTTTATGACTTTCCATTATTGAGTAAACAATGTTGCTCTGCAATCCCATGTTTCATTCCTGGGAGTAAAGAAAGAATTCCACATTTTGTAATTAAAACAGCAGTCGTTTTCGCTATTGGAGGAACCTGGGACTAGAGACTCGATCCATAGAGTCTTCTGCCTGCCTCTGTGCGAACGTCTCCCTCTCTCGGGCGAGCATATTTTTTCCGGCCGTTGCGACTGTCGGATCTTTCTCGAGGTCTTTTCCTGGGGGATGGGGGGAGAGATCGGATGACAAAAGAGGACGAAACGAAAATAATGGTGGGGACGAGAATCGAATCCAGAACTTTCAGGTTTCTGGTCGTGAATCGCGGCATTTTGCTGACCAATGCACAATCGCTCTTTTCTGCCATTAGGCTAAACTGAAGTATTAGACCCATATTCATGATAATAAGTATTGGAACGGCTCGATAGGGCTTACTGATTTTGAGAACCTATTAGTGCCTGCTGTGTCGGAGCTGTTTTCCGTTGAGTACGAACTCAACCATTTAGAATGATTTTGGGTTGAAAAATAGGGGGAAATCCCATAGGAGGGAACGGTGACAGGCCATGAGCTCAACAAGTATGGCTTTCAATTGCACCACGCATGCCTATACTATTCCTATGGGTGCGCCATCTCCAGTTATTTCTTGGCTCAGTGGCTCTCCCATAACCATAATAATAGGTACATGCAGCGTGGCATGAGGTCATTAACGTTCGCGAACGTGAGCGGTGGGTTGCGATTTGAGTTGCGTGAGGCCGCCGATAAAAGCCCACATACCACATCGACCAACGAGGGGACGATTGAAGGTAACGCCTTGATCTTTGGGTTACCCTTCAACTTCGATCGGCGTCGGTTCCCCGTCCTTCGCAATGACAATTAAAGGAGTGCAGGGGCAGACCAAGACATTAAGGGTGCTTTTGCCACGTCCTGTCTTCTCACATGGTCAGCCATTGGGCAGGGGGCCGGAGTGTGGGGACTGCCTCCCATGGTCACGTGTGCATTCATAGCCTTTAAATACATACGTGTTTTTGTACGAGCTACCTACTTCATGTAGCCTGCAGGTCTCATCGACCCATGATTGCCTTCGGCACCCAATCAATGAATGGAGCGAAGGAGGCGTTGCAAATGGAGTTGAGTAAAAAGATATCACCACTATTTCATTACGTACGCTTAAAATCTCATAATTTCCGGCAGCAAGGGGGAGGCACCATGGCGAGCGATGCCACCGTTCCCTTGCGATTATAGCGGCAACTCTCGTCTCCTCGTTCTTCCAAGTGAGGGCGAGACGAGCGCGAATCTACAATTTTCCGTGAAAATTGCATCCCCTCCCTTTCCTGTGGCCGATTTGGAAATTTCATTATGAAAAGGCACATTCTCGGATGCTAAGGTACAGTTCAGTCGAAACTCCAAATTCATATCTCTAAGCGTTTGGTCTGTAGAGCTGTCACACACTCATAAACACAAACACACAAACACAAACACAAGCAAATTGTCCCTCGGACTAGCTAGCGGTCAGGATGGCGCACGCTATATGTTGAACCTCCGGTTTGAACTAAGCTTCTTGCAACTACACATTCGCACCTCAGCTGGAAGATACGTAACAGAGGACATGAAGAGAAGCAGAACTGAGAGAGGTATAAGCACTTTGACCCAAGGGACCCCGTGGCGCATGGTGTCCACTCTCCCCCGCTCAGATTGCAGACCCAATACACTGGATTCACATTTTCCTTCCTACTTTAAACGCACTTCCCCCAGTGCAGGGTTGTGTAGATTTCGTAGAATTGAATTTGAAGAAGCCTTTGAAAGCTCTCACTGGCCTTTGTTTTCATGCAGCATTTTATGAAGTTTGTCAACTCACGGAATTTACGTTATTTTCGAAATTGAAGGCGAGGAGGTCGGTATTTGTCGGATGCGACGAAAATCAACTTTTTTTTCAAGGGACTAATTACTGCTCCTTCCGATAGTTATTCGCGTCATTATGTGATCATAGAAAGATGCATGGACATGTTTTGGCAATCGTTTTAGCATCTACTTGAACAAAGATCTCCATGGAATCTGGGATCGAGGATAACTAAAGCCATAGACCGGATGCAATTCGTTTTTAACCCGCAACTAAACATAGCCTGAATTCGACTTGCGAACACCCTTCTAATCCGCTTGACCATCTTAGAATCAAGGATTTTGTTGACGTGCTGAGTTAGTGGAGTCTCGCCTAAGTACCTACGAAGCAGTGATTCGAGCAAAGCCTCTATCCATCTGTTTCAATCAATGTTATCATCTCATGCACTTGAGGCCATTGGAGATCAATGACTTCATCTGTATCTCCTTCATGCACCAACCCTCGCATAGCTAGAAAACGAAGAATTTCTGAGTTAATAATTCTGTCGTGTACGTAATTCTTACTCAATAAGAGGGTTGAAACATGATGACAGACGCATCCTCAATCAAGAATTTCTTGACTAAAAAAAAAATTTAATTGAAGAGCATAATTCGGCAAAGTGAACTAATAATGGCGCCTTGCCTTAATTCTTCTTAAATTCAGGGAATTCATCTTGGACAACTCTGAAGAAGTGACGGAACTTCCGAAAGGGGTTTTTGGAAACGTGACATTCCAGAAAATCTCCATTTCTTCGACCGACTTGGCAACCGTGGATCCCTCAGCATTGCTTTCTTCAAAGGATCGACTCCAGGAAATGACAATTATCTCCAGCGCCCTGGAAGATTTCCCGTTTCACATCCTTCCTCAAATGACCCAGCTGAAACAATTGGATCTCTCAAGAAACCGGTTGAAGGCAGTACCGGCCCTCGACAGCCCCAGGCTGGAGATCCTGGATGTTTCACGCAATGACATAAAAAAACTTGAGCCAGGATGGTCCATTCCCAACTTGGGGGCATTGAGTATCAGTGAGTACGATCATGCATCAAATGGAAGAATATTCAATGTTTGTATGCATACTTGAAAGCGCCAATGTCATTTCCCCAGCTAAGTCATTTAATAGCGAAGTTCTTGCCAGTGATAACATTATTTTCTTGCATTCGATAATGATTTCCTTCAAAATAGTATTAGCGGAATGAGCCTACTGGATGCTTCCCAGACATATTGAAATTGAAGAAAATAATCTAACGTCTTCCCATTTTTACCCCGTAGGTTACAATCACATCACGGAGCTCCCTGCTGGACTGCTCGTGGGAATGAAGAACTTGACAAGTTTTGATGCTACTGGCTGCCATCTGGGACCGATTTTGAAGAAAGGATCCTTGACATTTCGGAGCGAAGTCTTGTCAATTGTATTTCTCGGAGTGAATGAAATCGCCAGCCTGGAACCAGGAGCCATCACAGGTTATGTCTCCCATTAAGTGAAATATCATAAAGAACTTCAGGAACGATGCAAATTTAAAGGATGATCAGAAGTAAGAAAAAAACAATTTTTATACTAAAACCAACTCTTCTTGATGAAATGACTGAAGTCGTGTATGAGGCCTATCTTTGGATTTTTTATTATTGCTCTGAGAAAAATTTTTACTCAGCCGAATTGGATTAAAGTCGCAGGAATTTTCGAGAAGGGAAAAATATGGGATTTATCTATTCCATCTCGGGAAGGTAGGATCAAGGAAGAAATTAATCTTCATTCACATTTTTAAGAATTACCTAAAGATAACTTTCTTGAAAATAAGCAGAGTACTGTAGATCATCAACTTCCGTATTACTCTTCTCACTCTTCTTAAAGATCGGCACGACGTTCGCTAGTCTCCAGTCCTTAGGTACTTCACCGCGTGAATCCGCGTGATCCTCCTGTATTCCTCATGGTCCGTTCTATCGCCCGTTTAAATATACATGTCCCATTTCCGCTTTTTATCGCTGATGAGAGCTTTGATTTTACTAGTGAAGCAGACCTGTTGCCCGACTGAATTTATGGATTTCTTGAGTATGCATTCCTCCATAAAGCTCTGCAATAACGTCTCGAACGTCCCCCATGGCTCCTCTATCGTCATTCCACGGAACCTTCCCTCCCAGTCCTTGCCTGAACCGCATTCACGCAGTCTCCCAAAATTACTCTTCTTATAGTTATACGAAACCTTCATTGGCTTGGCGCGACTCCTCGTCCGCATGATGTTCCACGCAATCGCACAGTGGTCCGAATCTCCCAAATTATCCCGAACGTCTGATCGATTCTTTTCACGGCGTTTCGACTCGTGCACTAGACAAATCATCGATAAATTTATTCCCTCACTCGATATGAGCAATTCTTAACTGATGTAACTCCGTTCTTCTTCAGGAATCTAAACACTGCGGAAATATCGCAGATATTAATTTATCTTTTCGAGTCTTAAAAACTTCAAATGAAGCTCCTCTCTAATAGGAAGGCCTACGAAGTGCACAAACTTTATTGCACGAAAAAAAATGTCACCGGCAGGCGCATAATTTACCTTATTTTTTGTAATTATTTTCTTGAACGTCTTGATGCATGTTTCGATTATGTTATTTTGTAAGAATCGCATGGGTTAGGAACTTTAATCAACTCAATCGTGCAACAATACACGCTTTACTTGATAGAAGGATTCTCATCAATCTTCCAATTGATGATGCTGTCTTCTTTCCGAGCAGATTGTAATTTTCCCATGAATGCTAATAAGGCGTTAATATCAACGGAAAACATTCAAGGCCGGCCATCGGAGAAATCTTCGTCGAGCGTTTTTCTTGCTAAAACGCGATTCATATTAGCTCCAAGTTCACGATTCGTCCGCATACAGTGTGAGATAGATCTCCCTCATGAAGGGAAAAAGGGTCAGGTTGAGCATGGTGAACTTGGAGGCACAGATAAAAGGGGCACGTGTAACATTTAATCACAAAGCGCGAAATGACACTTTAAAATGTTTAAATGCATTTAAACCGCATTGATTCGCGTACGTTTTGAGACGTTGAACAGGAAAAGTGTCAGTATGGTTCATTTAAGAGATACATGTTGATGATGTATTCTCCTCAATCCTGGAAATATATATCACAAAATAGTTCCGTACAGCGCATAGCAATAGTAAGTTTGATTTTCTATTCCCTATCCCGATTCCAGGTCTCAAGAATGATACACAACTTGTTCTAGAGAAAAATTTGATGACAGAATTGAAGGAAGACACCTTCCTGCCCATGCTGCAGGACCTGAGCGGAAACGGGACCATATTTCTCTCCGGTGAGTTCCCGTCCCGTCTGCTGTGCTTCCAAGTCCAAGTTTTCTTCGTTCCGGGATTCGAGTTCTTCTTCTAATCGTTCTGTCTTTTGCAGGGAACCCAATCCAGTGCGATTCTTGGCTTGCATTCAGTCTGAACTTTTCGCAATTCTCGCCGAGACTGGATGGGATGGATTGCGAGTACGGCACTTTTCAACCTCCTCCGGAAAGAATGCTTCTAAATTGGCCTCCTTTCGGGCGTATGATAAAAGTGGTGCACGGTTTGCCGCAAACCAAGTTCAAGGCTTTTTCAATCGATATAATCACGGTTCATGTATTCGAAACGTTCTGGAAATGAGATTTTAGGATCTTTCCTAAACGTCAGTCAATATATCCGAGATTCTTTGGAGAAATTGGAGAAATTTTGGAGGTTACATGAGTGCGGTAAAATTTACTTTAACGGTTAACAATTTCGGGTCATTTGGGAATTCAACAGAGGTAGTCGAGAGAATTCATTCCAGAAATAGACCTCACAAACAAATGAAAGATCTTAGCTAATGAATCGGTTCATAGTTTTGGTACAACAAAAGATTCATTGATTACTATTGCAACCTCTATTATTCGATAATTATTTAACAGTAGAATCGGAAGTAAGTTTCAGTTCGGATTCCCTCGAAGTTATGTAGCAGAACTTAGCTTGGAAGAAGATATTCAATAACTTCATAATTCCTGGTTTTCTTCAGCTTCTTCATGCGTTGCCCACATTCCAATGCTGTTTCACCCTGCAACTGCTCGATTCACGGGACCACCAAAGACGTAATCTTGGACTGCTCGCAAGCGAATAGCTCTGAGATCTTCTCGGCATTCCATGAAGTCCCCTCGTACTTCACCCAGCTCATGTGAGCCCTAGCTCTCTTCTGTTCCCTCCTCCCCCCTTTTCTGTAGTAGCTGCAACTGAAGTCGGGGCCAAGGTGACTCCAAGAAAAGCATTTCGCGACTTTCGCGACAAAATAAACACCATCTCTAGAGGAAGCATCGTGGATGTGGACCTTTTCTTATGGATACCTTTATTATATTATGACCAAACTGCATGATGTCATATCATCTGGAACACATTAGAATAATTTTTAATTCGGGTGTAGCTCCCTGGATTGAGGCGAATAATTGGGATTTATTTATAACATTCCTGTATCATTCTAACAAACCCATAGATGATCATGAACTTCTGTCATCGCACGCTCTCGTCCATTCTTCTTGTGCGTGTGAAAACTGGCAGAAATTTGTTAGAAAAATCTAGAGATGTGGTCATTAAAACGTGCCTTCTTAAAATTGTGTTCTCTACACTTTCCCATCGTCATAGACCTCAAATATGACACAAATGAGGAAACTAAAAAAAACCTATTAAACAAAGGGTGACTGCTGGGAATGTCGGCACTTTGAGCAAATGCTTCAGTTCCATCCTTGATTGGCTGTTTTCTTAATGGAGCTTCCTCGTCCATGTTGAGTCTGGTGACACCTTTATTATAAATTTCTTGTACCGCAAACCTCGAGCACCCCAGGTCTTTCCTTTCCGAGGGTCTGTGTCAAAGATTATGTTGGGACAGATGCTGGCAATCTCGGCACATTTGCTGGTATAGACGGCACCATCCTGTCGGAATTTTCGGCACACCTTTGCATCACTATCGTTTACAACGGACTCAAAAGTGATTGCAACGACCTTGAAAAACAGTACCTCGTGTGGAAGAGAACAGAATGAGCAAAAGCTTAGTGAAATTACAAGATTTCGCCGGATTTTCGGAGTGCGCCTAGAGAAAGTAGCCGCTGCGAGAAAACTACAGCAGCAAATATGGTTGTTCCAAATATATATTAACTACATTAGTCCTACCATCTGAGAATACTTATCTGCCCGTCCCTAGTGGAATAGTAGTGTAAGCAGAATTTTGCAAAGTGCCGAGATTACCCCCAGTGCCGACTTTCGCTGCACTCACCCTATTCAAATCTGGTCGAGCCAGCCCATGTTGCCACACTGACGAAGCGCACATATTGAGCTGTCATGAAGGAATATTTATTCAGCGAAGCCAAAACATTTTCTGATCGAACATTTCCAAATATTCTTACCTCTAAGTATTCTCTAACCATTTAGAGAGAGATAAAAAAACTTATGTTTATATCATTTTCCTATCTGCTTTTTTATTTACAGTTATTACGGCGGACAAAGTACATTCAATATGAAAGGAAATCGGGCAGTGAAGCACCTCATGGATGGAATTTTTGGGAAAGTGAACTTCAACGAAATAACCATTTCGGAAACCAGCTTGGTCAGCGTGGATCCCACGGTATTGCTTTCATTGAAGAATAGCCTTGAAACCCTCATCATCACCAATTCCGCCCTGGAAGAATTCCCATTTCAAGTCATTCCTGAAATGACCAGTCTATCGAAGTTGGAACTCTCCTACAACGCCTTGAAATCTGTGCCAGCCCTCAGAAGCTCCAGTTTGCAGATTGTGCAACTTTCGCACAATCGCATAAAAACACTTGTGCCAGATTGGCTCATGCCCAACTTGAAGAAATTGAATATCAGTAAGTATTATCGAACAATAAGTACCATGAACCTGGGATTGGCTCGAATAACGCAAATATCTCAATTTACACTACCATACTGTCAGCCTGTAAGACCCAGTTTTACGTCAAATGCAGAAGAGATTGACAATTCCTTGAATTTTCCATGAGGCATCAGAGAAGGTATACATTTTGAGAGAGTATCATTGAATTATTATTATTCTGAAAATATTAGACGGACTAATTATTTTGAAGCGATAGAAAATTTATTGCACCCTCTTACTTTCTCTCATTACAAAAAGACAAGAGACTCATGAATACTTACGTTCAGAAATGCTTTATCGACTCCGAACGTATAAATGGGCGAAATTCTCCTGTTCCCTTGCAGGTAACAATCCCATTTCGAAGATTCCTCCAGGATTGTTCGAGCGCTCAAGTGGTTTGATGTATTTTGACGCATCTCATTGCCATCTAGGACCAACATTGTCAAACGGATCATTGATGTTCCGCACCGAGGTCTTGTCTGAGGTTTCCCTTCGATATAATGGCATCGTGAGACTGGAACCAGGTGCCATTTCAGGTTAGATTTCCTGTTCCTTCCATCTCCTTTATAAGAACTAAAAGGAGACATTAAGGTGGGTTTCCGAACACTGTTTCCAAGATCTGCTTCTGATGAACTCGACCCTTTCTTTACGTGGATTGTAGTTTGGGGAATGAACCGATGTGAAATATGATGGGCCAAGTCTCCTGGTTAGCGCGAAAGCACGATCATGCACAGCAGGGGTTCCCAAACCCAAGGTCGTCACCCATGTTTGGGTCGCGACCCAGGGTTTGGATGTTGAATTTTGAGTCGGGGCCAAAAAATTTTGGAATCACTGATGCACAGGAATATCTTCGTTAAATTCGTTCGACAAAGAGACATGGAGGATTCCACTTCGTGGAAGTTCTCATCTTATTCCTTTTTTTTTTCTTTTGCACGACGTGAATGAGTCAGCGAGAATGAAAGGTAAAACCTCATTATGCAAGCATAGAATTTGTTCCCTTTTCTCGACAGTTCAGAAGCTTCCTGTGGGTTTGCGTCTTCTTCAGAAAAAGTGCTTTAGGGCTAGAAACCCATTCCTTATTGCGACGTTATCAGAAAATAAAGTTATCACGAATAAGCAGGGTCGGCCTGACTGATCTGAGTGGTTGGAGTCTTTTTTCCCAGAACGAGCCATTTAGTCCGAGTCTTTTTTTCCCGCTTCGTACCAGATTTTTCCAGCAAAAATTGGGAGTTTGGGTCATATGAAACTTTCGTGTTGTTGGGGCCAGGAGTGACTATGAAATTCCTTTTTTTGCAGAAAGAGGCATAGACACCCTAGAGGATTTTAGTTGATATATGATGCATGTGGCTGACTGCCGATTCTTCTCCATAGGACATTCAGTCGAACTATTTTTGGGTTGAATTTCAAGTGCGGGAATATTTCCGTTCATGGAGGGGAATGGTATTTCATGGAAGTTTCGATTCATGATGGATATCCCGTGGCCGGGATTTCGTCGGGGTCCTAAAGATAGCGGAATGTTCGCAGCGGACGAAACGTTTCAAGCCCGTTTCATCGTTGCGCAATTTTGTCGCAGACACTTAGCGTTGTACGTACATGGCGCGGCACTAACTAGCACACATGAACGAAAGCAATGTGTAAGAATTAGCAAGAAGGAATGGTGCATTAGAATTCCTGTTTCCTATCAGTTGATGAGGGAAAGGAAAGGGAGGGAATTAGTCTCTGCCGTTTTCGTTTTTTTTTACCTGTATCGTTCAAACACAAAATCAAATTTTCATGAGAATGACACTGGAATGGGTCAAATCATCTACAGCAGTGGTTCTCAATCTTTTTCTTCAACTTGCGGACAAATTTCGGAACAGCGTGGACCTACGCGGACCCCTTTTCACTGTCGCGTAAATCTGTTAGCTCATAAAAATTGTGCAAGCAATTTTTAAGAAATTATTATGGAAGCTGAGTAAATTTTACACTCATTGCTAAATTTCAAATTCTCCGGTATTCTTTTTTTTTTTTTTTTTTTTTTTTTTTTGGACGAAAATGCAAAAGGAAACTGAACATTTCGGTGCATGTAATATTAATTTTTTTCGAGTAGGTAATTAGCAATTCATCGTAGGGATTGTATAAGTAATCTACTTCAGCTGGTTCCTTGAGAAGAGAGAAATTTCTTTTTTTTTGTGCGATACACAAGAATTGAATTAAAATTATTTCCTTTAGTTCTGGTCGTCAAAAGCCTCGCGGAAGTTATGGCGCATAAATAATTGTCAAAAAGACAGATGGCGTCGACTTTTGTTTAATAAACAAAAAATCTAGGTCGACGGCGAAGAAATGCATTAAAAAAACGAACATGAAAATTTTTTGCCGGCTTTTTGAACGATTCTTTTTTTCTTCTTCGATTTGACGATCGTTTCCGTGGATTTTGTTGGGTTCGAGATCAGACCGTAAAATCTGCAAATTTTTGGATGATACGGTTCGATTCGGTCGCTTTAAGTGGATCAGTTAGAAAATGAACAAAATCGAACCTTGATTTCTTCTCGTCCGATTTAACGTCTTCGAAGAAGTCTTGAATGAGGATTGCAAGATTTTGGATCGATGGGTTCTTGGAGCTAGACTCGGGTCGTGGGATTCTCGGAATTTTCCTTCCGTTCATCGAAGACGACCATCGTTGGCTCGTATGTTGCTTCAGATGCATTTCGCATCGCCCGAGAACTTCGACCGTCAGGAGCGACCGAAAGAGAAGTTTGAAGCGAGTTGTCGAAATTCACAGGTTTCTCTTCATGGGGAAACAGGTTTTATCACGAGCCTCAACTATTTTCTGTTTAACTTCAAATTCAGGATCGCTGACTTGGCTCCTTCATCGTCTGCGATCGCCTAGCAAGAGATTGGGGGATGAGTAAACGCGCGAGACGCTCCGTCGTTGTTCTGCATCTATTTCAGTGGCGGGAAGGTAATTGGTTTGAAGTGCGAAAGGCAGATGGCAGGAGAGGCGCTGAACTCAGGAGGCGGGAACTGCTAACTGAGTCCGATGCGCGGCGGCTGTGTTGTGCCGTGGACTCAGGACGGACGCGAAACGGCTTGTTTTCCGAATTAAGAATATATTAGGTAGATTGGCCGAGTATGACAGCTTCAAGGCCCCGCGCGTGACCTTATTGGGACAAAGTGGCGATGGAAACCTTATCCTTCCTCGGTGTGTCGGAGCAGGCTTGAGAAAACGAATAGTTGCAATTGGAAACCATTGTAAACGTAAACGATGCTCGTGTTTATTGAGCTAACCTAACGTTAGGCCTTGCATCTAGAGATGCTGTAGTGACAGCTACGGATTGGTAAGGCTTGACATGAACCTTGCTGGCTTATCTGCCAATAGAATAATATTTAAAACGTGTAAATTTAGGCCTAATGTACCAAGGTAAGGGTAACGATAAATCTAGGCCTCTTTGCTGTTGCTGCCATCCGTGAGGATCTTTGCAGGGTATTGAAACCACTTTGCCCTCGCACTGTTTGATGGAATTCCAAAGCATTATAGACAAAAATGCTTGCATTCAAGAAATTTGCTGGGTCTTCCAAGCTGTTAGGACCAACATCTCTGACACTCTAGTAACCGTAAATGGTGACCGTAATAATTTAGCGTTATCAGTTATTTCTCAATATTATGGTGATGGAGTCCTATTTCAGATTTAGGTTGGTGTCACTATCTCATAGGCAGATTGCCTAATTTACTTTTTTCATTAAATGTTCAAATTGCATGCCATGAACTTGCACACATATCAATCCTGGCATATAACCCCCTCTGAATATTTCTTAGTTCTTACTAATAATTTCTTGTTATAATAATATTTCTTGTACTAATTTGTACTAATTTTGGTGCACTCATTCATTGAGAAATTTAATTAATTCAAAATACGGACGGAGTATGGACTTTTGAAACACCCTGTACAATATGAAGTTGTAGCGAATAGCCTTGCCTCAAATTATCATAGCCATACAAGTGGATAAGCATGAATCTTTTTAATTTTATTGGCTTTCAAAGCTGTGTCCTACAAAGTCTGGCCTGGGATAGGCCATATCATTGAAGAACAAAATGATACTGAGCAGGGAAGAGCTGGAAAAGCTGAAGTATGGTGAACTCCAAAAAAAGGCCAAGGCACTTGGAATAAAAGCAAACAAGAAAGTAAGTTTCTTTTGGATGAGAATATCCTAGGGCTAAATCAGCATCCAATTCTAGATGTACATGTTGTCCTCACAAGAATACTGCTACTTTTTATTATTGTGAGTCTTTGTACCTATCTTAGCCTTGTTAACCATTTGTTGGCAACCCAATAGCACTGTTCCTAGCATTGATTTTTTTTAATTGTTGCATTATGTTTCCAACCTCCTCCGTTGTACCACTGTTCTGGACTGTCCAGAAAAAAACAAGGCAATTGAACAATTTGGTGGTTTAAATAGAAGTAAGCAATATAAAAAATTGATTTGTCTGTGAAATATATCTGCTTGTTTCAAATTATAAACAAGAAACAAATTTAGTGAAATGCCTTTTTGAAGCAGGTATTGAACATTTTGTAACTCTGCAATAGCATAATCTTATCGACATTGATTCATTTGGTTGGTTATAATGATGTATTTTTAGGCTGAGCAACTCATTGAAGAAATCATTTCTGCAATATCACAAGGTCATTCCCAACTGAAAAGCGATGAAGATGGATATGCCTCCCAGGCCAGTCTCACCTCAGAAGGTAAGGTATATAATTTGAATTGTTGAAGACTTACATATTAGGCTATCTGCACAGCCACCTTTTTGCATGGCTGCAAAAGAAACCATCTGTCCATGTAGTTTAGTGGGTACTAAAACAGGAGGAAAAGGAGCACTCTAAACACTCACAATCATCTCATGAAGTTGTTTGTGATTGATCACCAGTGATGTTTGATCTCATCTTTTGCATACAGTTTCTCATTTGGAAGAGTGTATTTTTTCACAGAAGTGAACATAGTATTTTATTTCTTACAAATACTCAGAGCTTCCTTTTTTCAAGTGATCCTCCATTCATGTGACAATCTTGATGAGTTTACATTGCATTTTAGAGTGAAAAAAGATGTTAATGTGAAGAACTATTGTTGTGTAATGTGTTTATGCTGACAGAGGTGACTGTGATTGCAGACATGGTATAAACATCATTAAGTGAAGGACAAAATGTTATGATGTTCTCTCATTATCAATTTCATTATTTTGCACTCAATTTTACTATACACATGTTTGAAGTAAATTTTTTTATTAGCCTGTAGATATGTTTTCCATGCATTTCAAGCCATGCTTTTATTTTTGACTGACTGGAGAAACTGAAGGTGCCATCATCCACAGGCATGAGGGTAGCCAACAATTTGACTTACCCATCAGTGAAACCTTTTGCTGAAAGGTCATTTTCCTTATCTTGAACTGTAAAATAAAACAGTAAGAAAACCACCGGATGGATAAATTCTTTGACATCAGACTTGACTTGAATAAAATTATTGCTTAACCTGTAAATGCCTTCTAGAAATAGGGACAAGGCAGAAGTGACAAGACAAGAAGTGAGGCAGCATGTTCTGGTGTAGTTCATACATTTTAATAAGCCTCAGTGAAAATCTAATGTCAGGCTCCCTCTTTTACACTCAGGCATGCACTTTTGTTATAAATCATGGTCACATTAGCATAGCCCATGTATTTGAAAGTGAGCTTGGATCTGTAACTGAATAAATTCTTCTTTGTGGAACAGTGGGCCAGGAAAACTTTAAGCCCATATCAATTTTGGGTTAATCTTATCTCTGTGTTCTGAGCTGGATTATATTCCTTTGACCTAGCTGAAGGAAAAGCATGCAAGTTACATTCTGAATTGACCTCAAGCTATTTCTCTTTTCAAAAGAAACTTCATGCAACAAATGTCAGGAACTATGACTTACATTTAGCATGATTCTCAGATCATTGCAGTGTATGGAATAGAGTGAAAAGTGGAGCTAATGGGCCCAGCCTTACCAGTAGGGTACAGAGAATATTAGTATGGGGACTGGGGGGATACCCTTTGTGGTATGAGTATTTTGAATAAGCCAGTACTGTTTTTTACATCCCTCATCATGAGGCCAACATGAGATAACTTGGGCATGGACCCCAAAAAGTTAACCCCTTCACTTGTGTTTTGAGATATAAATGGTCAACCTGATAATTTCATGGGGATACCAGTGAAGAGGTTAAGGGAATTGAACATGAAAATGTCTGAGGAAGCGTTTTTGTGACATTTCACATTCATACATGATATAAGGCAACAGCAGCAGGTCAGATGACAAAGGAACCCCCTTCATTTAATGTTAATTAATGTGAGTTAGTTAATGGGATCAAGTTTGCATTGAAGGGATGGGTTGTTAGAGCAAATCCACATGCAATGATAATGAAGGGGAGAGAGGGGACTCAAGCCTTCCCAGCTTCCTTTTTTGTACACTGCTGAGACCTACCAACTATCTATGATCTATCCCAATTGCAGAAGAGGTAGAAATGACCCTTAGACATGTCAAAGTGCTATACAGGGTGGGTAAAAAAAAACGGTCTTCTACTTTGAAACCTTATATCTCGGTCCCAAATTGAGCTAGAAGAATTTAACAAAAATGAAATGAAAGTTCATTTAATTCACTTTCCAATGATATCAGTTGCAATTAAGTTCCGCCGAAAAACACGGGAGATAAATTGATTTGAAAAAAACTTTCCGCTGAAAAAAGTTGAAAATCACACTTTTTTACCAAGCACAGAGCCTTTTCACATTCAAACACAAGAAACACAAAACCAACGCAAGTTTAGCACAAGCTCATCGTTTGACGTATGACTCAATATGGCCACCTTTCTGCCGAATAACTGCCTTCAATCTCCCTTTCCACTTGAGGATGGCAGTGGCAATTGAGCCCTGTGAAAGTTCTTCCCATGCTACCAGGATTCGTTCCTTCAGTTCAGCGTCGCAGAGTGTCCTTAGAGGAACTCGTAGTAGACGATGGGGCGAAGAGTTGCTCGTTCGATCGGAGCCATGGCTGCCAACTGATGGCAGAACCCGCCTTATATACCCCGAGGGCAGAAGCTTCGAGAGCAGTTACCCGTGCGTTGGGAAAATGTCATAGACAACAATGGGCATTACGTTGTAGACTGAAATTGTATTTCAATAGAGTTATAAAATTTTGAAAAATTTGCGGTGTTGCAAGACATTCTTTCCAACCCAATAATAACTCTCCTCCTAAAATGCGTACAAATACATATTAGACTGAACCAATGGAATTCATCACCGCACTACAATTGCCTAAATGATATAGTTCATGATTAAAGGAAAATGCTCCCCGGGTATTTCTCTCTGAGAGCATCGAGAATAATGACATCGGCCATGATTCTTCTCTCAAAATAGGTAAGAAAGGGGAAAAAGCTTGAAAAAAAACATTTTCACGCTACTTTATATCCCAATGAACTAACATTAAAAATGCACTCTATAGAGTTTCCCAAATCTCCTCAGTGGTCGCGACTCGAAATGACCTCGATGCTAAGCGCTCAATGCAAGAACTGGAAAAAAAAACTTTGGGAAAGAAAAATGGAAACTGAGAGCTACAACTTTCCTCCTTTCGTGGACTATTCATAAAATGTATTTGACTAGCTGGGAAGAAATGACAGTAAAGTTCATATGCGCTACTCCAGGCCTCTTTCAGGCGCCTGAAAGTCATGCTGTACTCGAGTGCTTAACCTTGATCCATTGTGGGCCGCCCACATTGCAGATTTAGTTATCCAACATATTTCAGCAGTTTCTGGTCTAGTGTTGGCGAATACGGCATCAGGGACCCTCGTGGCCCAGTTAACCCAACGTGCCTGGGTAGTAGTCTTTCAATAACTATCATTTATTTAAACAATCAGTTTTGAGCGCATATGCATGGATGACTTCTTGTATGAAATAGCAGAGCGTTTTATTGAATCACCATATATCCAACAGTTAATTCCCCTTCTAAATTAAATATTATTGACGTGTAACACATTTCACTTCAATGCGGGGTATACCATTCATAGTCCTACCTCTTGTCTGATATGCCACACAACATATTAAATAATTATCGTGTTAGATACTCCCTAGCGTTATGCCTGGCAATTGATATATTCAATTCCTCAATGCTTTGGCTCCTTTGTCCATCCACTTCTTTCCTTTTATGGACATTTTGAAGGATGGAGGACTATTGCAAACGAATGCAGAATGAATAAATCTACTATGACAACATATTTACAGCATAGTTGAGACGTTTAAGGAGATGGTTCATTCCCGACCACGCGTTGGTGAGTTCCTATATATTCAACTAATGCAACTTTTTTGCATTAAGGTAAATCTATTTGCCAATCCATTGATATTAAGTCGATTCAACAGTTGGAGAGGATTCCAAAGCTGATTGCAAGGATCAGCCCGCCTCCGGCATTGACGAGGTTTCCCCTTCCCTCATACATGCTGGTGAGTTCTCATCAACTTCTCAGACATTGTAGTACCATGTGAAGAATGAGACAATTCAAGCAACGATTCACGTATACATGGTAAATTATTTCACGGCAGTAGGAGATAGCCAAGCTAGACCTCTCAGAGACTGGGATCAATATGCCTCTGCAAGAAATGAGACGTATGTTCCCTTCACATCTACTAGTGAGTACCCACTGCTCCTTGCAACCACCATTCCATATGAGGAAAAAAACATTTCCTACACCAACAGTTAAGCGGTCACATTGTCTCAGGTCGAGAAAAAGAGGACTCGAAACCCCTCCGAGGCCATCTTCAACAAACTTTCTGTGATAAGGTGTTTCACCCTCTGCAAACCTCTGGTGAATCCCAATTTTTCTTGCAATCATTGCCCCTATCCAATTAGAATGAAATCCTACCTACCATGATTCTGATCAATATTATAGAGGCTTCAGTTATAATGATAAAGCTCACATTCGAATCTCCAATAGGACAGAATCAGCCCTCTGCTTCTGAAGCGTCAGTTGTCTCTCTCCCCCATCCTGGTGAGTACCCTCTATCTTCTCAACCGTTCCACTCTTATGTGAAGTAAGAAAACATTCCGAGGTGATCCTGTTATATGCAGATTCTCTAGTTGAAGGTGATGAGGCCATAACTAATATTTTGCCTGAAGACCGCCCCCAATCACAGGTTGAGAACTCTGACCAGATCAGCTCTTCTCTTCCATCTCCTGATGAATCCATGCCTGGTATTGAAAACGAGATCCTCCAGCAGACACGGAGAAGACCGAGGGAAATTGACTGGCCTTGCCATCAGGAAGAAAGAGGACATTTATCAGGCTGGTCAGCTATTCTCGTTTCCATCATATTTTGATGAACAAATCTACCCTCTCGGTTCGAATTTTCTCTCAGAGACGCCTCTGACTACTCTTAGTACGCTCCTTAACCCTTTTAGTGCCACGCAGTCGATTTGTAGGCTAATAACGAATATATCTCGTTCCGGTGGCACCAGAAGGATTAAAAGGTGTCATAAATTTTGCTCGTAAAGATGAGTGCGTGATAAGACTGAAAATATTAATAGAAGGCTAACTTCTATCTTGCGAAATAGTGTACAGATCGAGACGTTTTGTAGGCTATCTGCAGAATCATTATTGAGGTGTATTGTCACAAGTTATGAATGAGAGTTCATTAATCGATATTTCGGACCACCATGTACGAGGGCACTCTAACAATTATTGTCAAACGGTATGAAATATCACCTTATCTCCATGATATTTTCGTGTCCATCCTACAGGGTTTTTAATGAGATTCTGTGATTTAAAATAAAATTTCTAGTGGTTAAAACGTAACATGAAGAAAAGAGTTCAATTCCAGGGCAGATGACTTTGACCCATAGAGACTTCCAAGTGCTGATTTGGCATGGTTGCCAAAGGCGTCTAACTGCGAAATAGTGTTTTGCTGCGGTTAAATCATAACTGTCCGATCTTGCTCCATATACAGGGTGGGTAAAAAAAAAACGGTCCTCTACTTTGAAACCTTATATCTCGGTCCCAAATTGAGCTAGAAGAATTTAACAAAAATGAAAAGAAAGTTCATTTAATTCGCTTTCCAATGATATCAGTTGCAATTGAGTTCCGCCGAAAAACATGGGAGATAAATTGATTTGAAAAAAACTTTCCGCTGAAAAAAGATGAAAATCACGCATTTTTACCAAGCACAGAGCCTTTTCACGTTCAAACATAAGAAATACCAAACCAACGCAAGTTATGCACAAGCTCATTGTTTGACGTATGGCTCAATATGGCCACCTTTCTGCCGAATAACTGCCTTCAATCTCCCTTTCCACTTGAGGATGGCAGTGGCAATTGAGCCCTGTGAAAGTTCTTCCCATGCTACCAGGATTCGTTCCTTCAGTTCAGCGACACACCGGATTTTTTGCCCGCGATACACTTTCTCTTCCAACGCGGACCACACAAAATAATCGACTGGGTTTAAGTCAGGGCTATTGGGCGGCCAATTTTCAGGTTCGATGAAATCAGGACAGTTTTCACGAAGCCACTGAATTGTTGCCAGAGCAGTATGGGCAGGAGCACCGTCTTGCATGAAGGTGTAATCGTGCATCACATCTTCAATTTCGGGCAGCATTTCTGAAAGAAGTTCTTCACGGTAGTTCTGAGAGTTTATCTTCACACCTCGGGGAATGAAGAAAATCTTAGTTTTTCCACGCGAAGACACTGCCAAGGAAACCATCACTGATTCAGAGAAGTAGCTCCTCTCTCGCAGCAGTCTCTCAGGAACAATTTCAGACTTCTTTTTCACAGCAGCATGCACACGGTCATTTTGTGTGTTACACGGCGTAACAACGGTGAAACGTTTTTCATCTCAGAACCAAATTTTTTTCACTGACTCCGGTGTTGGAAAGCGCTCAAGAAGACGTTTGCAACGGTCCAGGCGTTTCTTCTTCACTGGCACTGACAGTTCTTGGACGGTCACTCTCTTGAAAGCTTTCAGATTCAAGTCTTTTTTTACAATTCGACGCACAGATGAACGGTCTATGCCACTTTCTTTGGCCACTTGTCGCACACTCATGCTAGTCCCTGGTTGTCCTTCCTGGCTTAGAATCAAATCTTCAACTGCTTGGACATTTTCATCAGTCCTAACAGTTTTTGGGTGGCCACTTCCAGGTCGATGTTTCCCGCTTCCAGTAACTCTCAGTTTTTTCAGAAAATCAATGACGGTACTCTTCTTTCACTGTCGGCTGGGATACTCTTGAAGAATCTTGTTCAGGGAGTATCCTTTTTCTTTGCGAAGTGCTTGGATAATGCACTTGTCACTATCGGTTAAAACCATTCTGGATGGGCAAAAAAAAAAAGTTATAATGAATTTATCAAGTCAAGAATATGAATAAAATCACAATAAACAAAAAAGACAAAGAAACGCAGACAAGAACTGGTGACCGCGGAGTGAGCAGCTGCCGATCACGCCATCAGCCAAGAAGTTGCTCAAGGCCGAAGGGCGAAGCTAGCACGCTCATTGCTGGCTGATCAAAAGAATGAAAAATGGAAAGAATGAAGAATAGGCATATTGAGCATTTGATGAGGGAACTGAAACCGGTCTAACGAGAATAAAGGGGGCAGGGGGGAAATTTCATAGGAATGTGGGGTGCTTGATGGGCGTACCAGCGAAGCCAGCAACCGGCTCGTGACTCCACCAGGTGACACAAGGAAATGCACATGGAAAAACGATTTTTCTGCATGACTAATTTTTTTCAAGTGAATTTTATGCTTTCTCTTGAAATATCTAGAAAAAACTTTATAGCACGAGACAGAGAATTGATTGAAGTTCTGTGTAGTCAGGTTTGAATTTTTTTTCTTGCATTTTTTTTGTCAATAAAAGGTCTCAAAGAAGAGGACCGGTTTTTTTTTTACCCACCCTGTATGTTGCTCTGATCATGCTGGGTTTCCTTTTTAGTTTTACATTTTCGCCCTGCTTTCAGGGGATTTCACTGAACGAATAAATTTTTCCCAATTTTGATTTCATCCTACAAACCAGATATCACAAAAATTGTGTCCTGTTTGAGGCTTAATGAAACCTGCTGTACAAATGTTTGATTTGTCTTCATTTTTGTAATGAACAAAACATTCAAAAAATTTTTCACTGAAAGATTGGAAGTCTCTGGGCTGTTTGGGTTAAAAGTAACAGAAACTTTGACAGTAAAATATCTTATTTCCATGTAGCAGTTTCAGCTGTAATTCTACAGATGTATCTCATTTTTTGCCAAAAGCATCCTTCTAATGGCTTCATTCTTATTGCAATGTTCTTGACTTTGCAGTGTTATAATGTCCTACCTTTCAAAGGAAAAGTTTTAACCTGCATTAACTGCATTAACCCTCAGAGGAATGGGTTGATTTAATGCCTGAAGGATTCCCTAAAGTGAACATATGGAGGGCAGGATAGATTCAGACTGTAAACATACAGACCTAGACCTCAAAGGTTTAAAGGTTTTTTTTTATTTTAAACAAAGTCCACAATTTTTTTGGAAACACTCACTATTCTCTTCCCTTTCCAGACCTTATGCTCTAAGCAGACCATCAAATGTGGGCCCCAAAACCTTCTCATTTGAAGCCAAAAGACACCACACAATCAAGACTACTAGGACAAGGACATTGCATTAAAAAAAAACAGCCTTCATGGTGTTGAAGGAAAGGAATCTTTTGAATGCTGCTGAGATTGCAACCACTGCATGTGTGAAAAATTATACCATACTTTGAATGACTTGCTTTTTATCTAGACAACCTAAATACTTTAAACTTCCAGAATACAAATTTTGTTGTGTTTCTAATGTGATACAAAAAAATTATGAACAAAGAAAAAGAAAGAAAGAGAAAGAAACAAAGTCATCTCACAAGGCATTATGCTTTTTTTGTTGGCATCACCAGAACACAAGGTGATTCTATGTCATTCATGGATCTTGGATTGTCCTTGCCATTTTACAGGTTCTTTGATCAGTGAAGATGAGGGTGAAGAACAGCCAAGAACAAAAAAGCGGAAGGGGAAAACAAAAGGAGGGTCAGAGAAGAGATGTGGTATTGAACCAGACTACTTTTGCTTGTGTCTTGTGAATGGAGAATCCAGAATCTGTCTCAAATCAACTTCCAAAGTTGAGATAATGAAATTCTTCTTTAAAAAAAAAATAGGTTGCAAGAAGTGCTTTTTTTATTATCTCAAAGCATGTCAATTAAAAAAAATTATAAATGGAGTTTGCTAACTCCAAATCTGACAATGTAGTTGACTGATTCTAGCCATTCAGCTGTCATGTATTATAATTGCCTTTGTACAGGTTCATCTTCGATCAGTGAAGATGATGATGCCAAAGAACAGCCAAAGGAAAAGAAAGTGAAAGGGAAAACAAAAGGAGGATCAAAGAAAAGGCCTGGTATGTGAACCAGACTACTTTTCATTGTGTGGACCAGTCACATGGAGAATTAAATTCATATTCTGAAGATTGATTTTCTCTGTAGCAAGGCTAGTCTGTAGCCTAGTACCACATGAATAGGTGATATTGAACATTCCATTCAATGAATTTGATAGGATGAATGATCAAGAAAAGTTTTTATTATTGTAATTTGTGGTTGCATCAAGTTCACTTGGAATGAAATATGACAGAACTCAGCAAATGAGAGCCTTCAAACCTTTTGGAGAAAATGTAAATTTTCCAAGAGGGGAATTTTTTTCAGGATCTTCAGTCAACAGTGTGAATGAGGAATTTCATCATTTAGCCTGCTTAGCTTTGTCGATTCTTGAATGAGAGGACAGCAGATGTACTTTTTTTGCCATCTCCTCAATTAAAGGTTTAAAACTTGAAATTGAGGCAAGCTGACTGAACAGACTTTCATCAAGAGTAGGCAAGAAATATAGTACTTGTTCTCAAAACTCTCCCCCCCCCCACCAGTTTTGAAATCTCCAGAGCCTATGATATTGTTACAGTTTTGTCTTTAGAAGGTCTACTGATAGTGACTGAGCTTCTGGCCTACAAGTAATTAATATTAATTTCTGTTTTTAACAACCATCAGTAGTAATTGGTACTGACCTACTTCTGTGCAGGTTAGTGATTGAGGAATGGTGCCTTTCTTGTCTAAATTATTATTAATGTTGTAGGCTCATCTCTGATCACTGAGGATGAAAGCACTGATGAGCAGTCAATAGAGAAAAGTGGAAGAAAATCTAGTTCTCGGGGAAGATCAAAGAAGAGGAAACTTCAAAGTGGTGAACCTGAAATATCTGAGAGTGCCCTTCAAGGAATTACAGGGTCCCCTCCTGAAGTGGCACTTGCACTTCCCTCTAGTGACCAGCCAACACAAGGAAGTGGTATGCATGTCAAGAAAGAGACATTGTGCACATTGACTTTCATGAGTATTTGAGGGAATCTTATGACTCTTGGAATGATATTACATCTGCAGGAACAAGAAAAAGGTCAAGACCTTTGTCTAGCAAGAAAGCAGTCACATCTAGCAAAAACAGGGATTCCACTGTTGAGAAGCAAATGGAGGCAGACAAGAATCGCAAAAAGCCTGGTTCAGTGCAAAAGGGAAAGCTTTCAACACAGAAAGGTGTGACCCAGGAATATAAGATGAAGTTGCCCAGGAATATTTGCAAAAGATTTGGAAATTGAATACTTATTTCCAGATACTGATGTAAAAAAGAGTCAAGAAAAAGAAGCACAGAGCCAGAAGCCTACCAGACAGACCCGTAGTCCACTCCAACTACTTAATGTGGGAAATGCTACAGGGGAAAAATTGGAGAGCAAGAGGATATCTCAGCCTAAACAGAATGGTTGGTCATGTTCTCAAATATTTATCAGGAACTCAGTTTGAAACAATTCTGATGGATAAAATTTCATTTTCAAAGAGATAATATACACCAGGAGCAAAGAGTCATGCTATTTATTTTTTAAAGAATATGTAGCCATATTGGCTGGGTCAAATTTTTTTCCCAATAGGTAATTTCGAGTGAAATTTACTAATTGGATAATTAATGTCAAATAAGATGTGTCACCCTGCATACATCCCTTTTATTTACTGTTCACAGAAAATTATAAGAGAGACTAACCAATTAGAAAACTTCTTCACTCTTGTGGAACTAAACTGAACTCAAGTTCAATCTGATATCTGTTTACATTCCATTGCCATCATATTGTGGAAACAGGCTTGATATACAATATTACAGTTTTCACTTGCCTGGTTTTCTTGAATTGAAATGCTGAATTGGCATCAAAACTTGCTTGCTTGGGTGAGGGGGGCAAGAGCACAGGCATGAACCTTTGCCCTCTGATGAACCCTGACGATCCCTTACCCACATGTACCCTGATTTTGTGAAATGTATGAGCATTAGGAACAGGGCAGGAGTTAGTGTACTATGTGAGATCTGTGAAAGACTCCTGACTCCAACTGATTTTTCACTTTTAATGTACTTTCCCTTCAATATTCTTTGGGTGGGACAGGCATGTAAAGCAAGTTCATGTTCTCAGTGGAATAAAGAGAAAAAAAAATTCAGTAGGACTGCACCCACATCTAGGCAAGAGTGGAATCCCACGATTGAACTCCAAGCCAAGAGTGTCAAAGGTGAAAGCTCCTCCAAATTTCAAGCTTATTCACCAGAAAGCTCAGGAGAAAATGGAGTCCATTGATGTATACATGAAGCGCAAGCAGGAGAAGCACCAATCATTGACAAAGTTCACTCCCAAAGTGAGTCCCTTTCCTATATGAAGTCCACCAACATATCATCAATGCTCTTTTAGCATTAAACATATATATTCACAGGTCATGGTACGAAACCTAGGTGCTTCGCAAGGACCAATAAAGTTTAACATGGAATTGAAAGGATCAGCATTCAAGTTTGGGGGTGAGCTGATCTGATTTGTCTTCCATTATCATCAGGTGTATCAATGTGCTTATGCCTCTATCAATTTCAGATGGAAAGAATCCATTCACTCCCTCAAAGCTGGCAAGATCGGGTGAGAGCAAGAAGTCAGTTAGGCCTACCAATCTGAATGTCACAACTGTTCTGGGAAATGATGCATCCATGAATCTGGAAACATCAGTGGCAAGCATAAATCAGACTTTCACATGTGTCCCTGCAAAAAAACTGACCAAGAAGATGGAAATGGCTTTGAAGCTCCCAGGTGGGTTAGAAATATGCCTTGTTGTCATGAAAATGCAAGGATTCATGGAAATTTTTCTCCATGATAGGAAACAGAGTGGGTGCATCAAAGATGCGTGTCAGAGAGCAAATTAGCATTGCCAGGCACATGGCAAGATTGAAGGCCCGGAAGAACGTTGTTCCCAGTACTCCTGATGGGTAAGTGGATTCATGAAAATTGTGCCAATTGGTCCATATTTTCCATTTCATTGGTTTGCCAGGTTCTTGTTTTTTTTTTTAACTCCTAGGAAGCAATGGCGATTCTGAATTTCCATCATTGGACTCCTGATGTACAGTGCCACATATTGTATTCCACTTCAGTTTGGCAGAAAAATTGTTCCTGTTTTTCTTTGCTTGCTTATTATATTCTGCTCTTCCTGAGGAACACAGACAACATTGAAGAATGCAGGACCTCACCCATCTTTAACATTTGGGTCTCTATGGCAGAGATATCCTTGGCATCATTGACCCTTTGCAGTCAAATTTTCAATAGCATACCCATTGTGTCTGAATTATATGCTGAAAATTCTGAAGTATGCAGACCTAGCTCTTTTTTCAGTGGGCCTCCATTCCTGAAAGGAAAGAGACCACTTACGGTCCCATCCTGTCTGTCCATGTGTCACACTTTAGTTGCCCAATGATAAATAAAAAAATATTGGCCTGATCAATGCAAAAATTGGCAAGCAGATAGACAAGATCCAGGCTGAGTTCGTTTTGTGACAAATTTGCACCATAATTGGCATTTTTAATGCAAGTTTTGAGTTTGAACTTTAGCCACAGAGGGGAAGGCTTGAGGACCATGAGCCCTTCAGGTTCTGGCCCAAAATGCACATGCTTGTACAACCCAGGCTTAGGGTGCAGTGCTGTCAGCAAACATCAGCTGTCAGTTCCCTACCAACTTTTGTGGTGGATGGATCCAACCACACACTGCCCTCCATCCTCCCATCATTGTTTACCAAATATAAATGATGTTTTTGATGGTCAAAGACCAGAAAGAGACGATTTAATTAAGTGATAAAATGAGGGTTTCCTCAACTGAAAGGAGGCCCACTACTGGACTGGGCCCAACTTGTTTCCAATATGATTTTATGGATTTTCCCATCACATTCAACTGTGGACTGGAATAGGGAAACTTATGTTGGATAAGGTCCTGAATTATTCAAATACTGTCCCTTCCCATGTAAAGGCAAGATCAAGACAAAGGGAAATTTTTTTTTGGCCTTTCCATCTTTCTTTTTTGGGACACTATTCTGTGTGAGATGTAAGAAAAGTCAAATGCTGAGGTCAACATGGAAGATATTCTCTTTCATATTATAAAATTCATCACATGGGAAGAAGTAAAAATAACTCCTGGGCCAATATCACTTTTTGTGCTTTTGAAGTTGTGGTGCAGCAAGCTTCACTCGACCAGGGATGTTGCGGGCCAAGTCCTGGTCCTTGACACTCTTCAGTAGGTCTTTCTCTCTTTGGGTTGCTGTTTTATCATTAATGAACATGTTCAAGGCTGTTTTTGCTCCTTTTCCTCGTTTTCCTGTTCCAGGCAATAGCTTCACTTTATACCTGAAAGAGAAAATTTTTAATTACTGACACATACCTGGAGTACTGGAAGAATGGAATGCTCATAAATGTACCAGTCCTACAACTCACTTGTAGTTGAGGAGGGTATTGTAGGGAGCACAGACACTGACAGCAAAGAGAAGTTCATCCTCAGAATGTGGAATTCCTGTCAACATGTTCAGGAGTATCTGGTCTTCATCCTCTCGAGCTTTTTCCTCTTCATCCAGGGCCAGATCCTCTTCATCCAAATCCCCTGGAGCTGGAGCTTGAGCATTTTTAGGTTGAGGTGGTGGTTTATTGCCTTTCTTTCCACTAAGTTTGTCATCTCCCTGTTGCCCCTTCTCTTTGTTCTTTGCCTTTCTTCTCTTTCCTTTGGATTCCTTCTTTGAGGACTGAAATTAAGGAATGAAATTGCACATTATCTGATTTCCCATCTGTCCAATGAATCATAGGAGCATTGCTCACATGCAACATTTCTGTCATCAGCCTTCGGTCTTCTTCATCCTGATCTTTGTATTTCTCCTTTATCTTCTTGAGTTTTCGTTTTTGTGACTGCTTGCCTTTGCCTTGTCCTTGCTCATCTTTCATTTGTTGCTTCCACTCTGGTAATTGCCTGCCTTTGACAGCTGGCTGTTCAGGATTTTTCTGCTCTTGCTTATTACCTCCAGCCAAACCTGTTCCAGTTTCTGAATAAGACAAAGTCATCACCATTGTGAAGAATTTACTTCTAAAAGCATTTTTTGTTATTCTTTTCAAGACTTCTAACTCACTTGATGGCAGATGAGCTTTCTTCCCTTTCTGAGAAGTGGAAACAATAAGAGGCTTGTCATCACCAAGATATACAACTTGTTCAGCTCCTTCCTCAGGTTCCTTGGAAGAAGATTGTATCTTGAACCTGTGCAGGAGAAATCAATGAACTTTAGACTCCAACTACATTTCTAAATGGCTTATAACCAAGTCATACAGCTCAAGAAATTGCTGTTTTTTTTATGCAATAAAAGTGCTGGCAACAGAAGAGCAAGATGAAAAACAGGAGAATCAAAATGCTGATAACTGATAAAACTAACCGATCTCCAGAAACATGCTGGATGTCCACAACTGTGTCTGGGAATTCAAATTCTTTCATTTCTTTTTCTCCTTCCCCTTCTTTCTCACCATCAGAGGTCTCACTTGATGACTTTTCTTTCTCATCCTCTGACTGCTTTTGTTCTTCATCTTGTAGCTTTTCATCCTGGTTCTCTCCATCTTCAAAATTTTCACTATCTGCTTTCTCTTCTTGCTGGCTTTCATTTACTTCTGCCAAAAATAAACTGAAAGATCTTTCACAGGAACTTATGCATAAATAAGCATAAGAGAAAGGTCAACATCTATAATTTTCCAAATACCAAAATTTACTGCTCAAACTTGCCAATACCTTGGTTACTATGAGGTTCCTCCTCATCAACTTCATCCTCATCCAGAGGTATTTCAATATCCTGCTCAGATTCAGAAGATGTCATGGACATTCCATCATCTTCATGACCTCGAATTTTCCTCTCATCCTTATGCCTGTGCAAATAAATTGGAGAAAGATCCATTTTGCATCCAAGATGCAAAAGAAGGAAATCAGTAATTCCTCTAAACTCACAGTTCAATGGAAGTTTCTGTGATCTTGAAGAGAAATCCAAAACCCATGACAAGATGAGCAGGAAGGAGGTAACTCTTTTTCCCACGAATCATGAAACTCCCAGTTGTCAGATACTCTCCTGTTGGGGCAGTTTTGGACACCTGAGTTGCATGCACCCACCATGCACTGGTCACCACTTTTGCCTCCCATGCCATACTGGAAACCATTAAAATATAATTTTAAAAAGACACTCCGTGATATGAAAAGCTCCTAGGGTGCAAATTGAATGAAAGCAAAGAACCTGTAGCAGACAGCCATGACACCAGCTTCATTCAAGGTTTTGGGAGGAACTGGATTACCAGATGGGTTCTTAATGACCACACTGCTTGCTCCGTGAATATCTGCATGAACGTAGATGTCATTGGCCTTCATGTAACGTTTCACTATCACCTCATTCTGCTGCTGGTCTCGACCTCCTATCACTGAACAGACAGAAAGAATGTTATTCTGAGTAGATCCTGTAGCAGAATCGATCTGAGATTAAGATATATTGTGAAACCATGGCATTGATCAGTACAAACCCAAGTAATTCTCAGAACTGATGAACCAGTAGAATTTTTCAAACCAAAAGGTTTTTCTTGACTTTTTCACAAGGGCAATGGTTGCAGCCTCCTTCAGAGTCTGTTTTGCCTTCTTTTCTGCACTTTTGAATGCCTTTGTTGAAGATTCAATGGTCTTCTGTTCCTTCTTGGCAGCTGAACGCTTATGATCATAATACCTACCAAAACCAACAATACTTCAAAATATCATGGATCATTTGACTCATCAGAGCCACAACACTTTCACATCATGGATAGTCCCACATGTGGCCAATGACAAGACCATGTGTAGCCATTCCTTCCCCCGTATGTGAACCTCAATTCTTTCAAAGAAAATCTTCCCATTACCTCTTAGGTTACTCTTCCACCGAATGGGTGAATGGCAAAAGCAAAATTTACAAATATTCCATTACCAGGGAGAAGAATTGCAGCAAATTGGCTAGCCAATGATATCCTTAACAATATCATGACATGTGAAATGCACTAGAATCTTACCTCCTTGCATTTGCAAAAGCTGACAGGTCCAAGTCAATGTCCACATCCATCATGCGAGGCAGACCATCATCCTCTTCTTCCTCTCCCTCAAAATGTTCAAATGGATAACTGAAACAAAGCACGTTAAAGAATAAAGGACAATATATTCAGCAATTCACATGCACTGAAATGAATACTATACACTGTAATACTTATGCAAACTCACGTGAGCCTCATAGTGAAGTGATTAATTTCCAGTTTGAGTCCATGTATGCAAGATGCAACAGGATCACCAGCTGCTTTGGCCTCTTCAACCAGCTCATCTATTCTTCGCCAGCTCATCTTGTTTCCAATTGCACTTCTCACCACAAGTAATGCCTTTTCAACTAGATCTAAATTTGCTTGGATAAGCTCAGCTTTTCTCCTATCTAGAGCTTGAGTCTTTAGCAGTCCCTCAAGCCGTTTCTCATGATCCAGTCGAATGTTTTGAAGCTTTTTCATGGCTTCCTTCTCCTGGAAATAAAAAAAGGGGTGCAACTTGCCAGTTTCATTAAGTTAGTTTGATTAATTCTTTAGTTTTGCCATTATACTCACCTGTTGAACAACTTTGAGGTCAAGCTTCTGACTCTCCAGCTTGGAGAAAAACTCATCTACAGCCTGATCAAAAGTGAGAAATTCCAAGAAGGGCATGCCTTCATGCTGCTTGAAAAGCATTGGATAAAACTCATGAAAAGAGAGAAATTTCCCCTTCTCTGCTCCATCATCCCCCTCAGCCACAGTCCTGACTTCCTCCTTTTGGATGATGTAACCCTGTAAATTCAAGAATTGAAAAGAATTTTGCAGAGCTAACACACCTACTTGGCAAAATCCCATTTCCCAGGCTCATGGCTTTGAATGGATTCCTTATTCATGTGAAAATTGTGGTCATTGATTATTTCAATGAATGTTTATGGTTTGAGGGTAGGATGGGTCTCTGGATGTTCAGGAGGTTCACCTTGCCTGGTTGAATGTGGTGGAACTGGCATACCATACGATGCTAAATCTATTTCTTGAAAAAATGTTTCTCTTGTGTCTTTCCAATACATAATGAGAATAAAATTCTGTTGTCAAGTTATCATCAGAGAAACCTTGGACTTAGGTAACTAAAGTAACCCAACAGACAAACTTGCTCTGATGAGGCTACATACTATACTGGGATGGAATAAGAATTGTTAGGTGATGTAAGATGAAATGTCATAATTAGCCATTTGAAGCAACATCTGATATAGGCATCCACTCAAGCAGAATGTCACAAAACCACTCTGCTCTGCTTAGTATTGATGTACAAGAACTTATTCATGTGAGGGAAGGCAAATAGATTCTTGTTCAACAGGTAGGTGCATAAAAGGGGAATACTGGAAAATGTGATTTGAAATTCAACTGGATTCAAGAATGACTGATTTCCTGGGACTAATGCCTATTGTCAAAATTCTTCAAGAGTGTCATAATGATCTGAGGTTTTGGCAGCAGTGGCAGTTATCCAAGAAAAATATGTCAACAATATATATAAGAAAAATTTTTGGCATACTTGGGAACTGTGGCAGCCATGAATTTGAATCAACAAGGAACAAGTTTGATTTCTTTTTTCAATAAAGTTTATTTTAGTGTCCTTTAAAAAATGAGAATATCAACTGTAGCACTACTGGCTATTCTTCTTTCATATGGGAGTAGCGACTACTAAAAATTGATGTTAATCTTTGAAATCCAGTCAAGAGTTTTTAGTGATCCTGTGTGTATATCCTTGATGCTGCCGGGAAATGAGTACAATGGGCATTCATTGATGATGACTACTGGCAATGATGAATAGCCATGGTTTTGAGTTCATCATATACTCCTTAGTTCTCTAGTCAGGGAAAAAGCATCTCAATTAAAAAGTTACTGTTCTTGCAGATATTAAATGGATGACCTTAAAAGGTTGGCTGGCTGCTTTGTGAAGAAAGTCCTCAGCTTCCTGCAATGCAGAAGCCAATCGAGGATAGTCTTGCTTTGGATCAAAACCTTTTCCAACACCTGCATTCTTGGGGAAGCCAGCTGATAGCAGACAATGCTCCAACACTCCTGGTCCACACTCTACATCATACAGGAAATGAAATTATTAAAAATATCTATCATCAAAAATTGAATTTTCATCATCTAGAATATTTCTCACCCAGGTGTGGATTTAGGATTTTCTTCAAGTTCTCTCCAGATTTGGCAGTTGCAAAAATCTCTTCTAATCTCTCAATTGTCAATTGGCCTCTGGGGGGTTGCACTTGGTTTATGGGATACTTCTCACTTACACGAAACCTATAGAATGAAAATCAAAGGTAAACATGATAGTCTCAGACAAAGAACATTCATGCAGTATGAGATCTCAAGGAAAATCACACTCACCTGACATCTTCTCCTTCACCTCTTGGTCTTAATATGTTGAGAATTGTATATTCATGATCAGTCAGGGCTATATTTCCTCGGTCATACAATTCAAGGATGATGTGAAAAGCCACTTCCCCAGAGCCAAACTGGAGGTCAAGGATACGATCCATTCCAAGCTGAGTGATGCTCTCCAACCGTTTATTACTGATGTGCTTTCGGAGCTGAAGGGAGGAAGAATCAAGAGTTTTATCTTGAGCAAGGATAACATCTAGTCATTGGCAAAATAGAAAAAGATCAAGTACTAGTATATCATTGGCTACTGGGACAAATAGTTCTACCCTCTGTGCCAATGTAGCTCAGCATATATCAAAAGGTTTCACTAGAGAATAATGTTCTTAAGTTTGAAGATTTTGGACTTGCTTCAGCTTTACCTTTCATAGTTAGTGCTAACACCTAAATGATGTGCATGCTAGGAACACACATCACACACTCCCTTCATAGGTGGGCTACATAGTGAACCCACTAGGCCAATTGATAAAGGGAAGGCTTGAATACATTTCTTAGTGTTTCAATACGAGAGATGATCAAGAGGATATGTGGAGTGTGAATTGGCAAATAGCATGAATAAAGGGGGGAGTTAAAAAAATGTCCAGTTCAGCTGCAAGTAAACTTTTGAAGACTATAGCCCCACAACTCCCCCCCATCCCAGTACCAATCACTATATTCTCAACTTTTCAGATGAAGTCTTAGCTAACTGAATCACCCCTCATTTTTTTCTGTGAGTGGCAGTGGGTTGTTCATTACTTTCAAATTTTTTTTACAAAGATAGTCATGTAATTTCCAAGCAAGGATAGCCTCAGAGCTGTTGAAACCACCATTAAGTCCATTTAGCACTCTGATATAATGCTTTGATAAACAAATATTTGCGGGAAAATAAAGGGAACTAAAACCCCCCAAAATTCCACCTGGTAATGGAACAGGAAATAATCTTAGGGCTATTCATAGAAGGGAGAGGGTGATGTAGTGAAATGGCAATTCAGGATCTATTAGAGAGAACCAATAAAAGTCTATCACCAGTGGGCTGAGACATAGTGGCAAACTAAAGCAGCAAGAATATGCTCATCATCATACTTTCATGGCAAAACCTGAGGGTGCAGGATGCTTGGGCCAGTCATATGTAGTTGTATGGATTCGATTCCCAGACTCTAGAACAAGTACGGATTTCTCATCCTGCCTGTGTAGTCTGATCAAATACGTCTTGGAATCCACATCATACACCTGATGGACTCTCATGCCGACAAGCCTAAAAAATAAATATATATATAAATATCCAGTGAAAGCTATGCAGAAATCAGCGGTGAAAACGAGTTATGTATTGGGATGGGCAAGCAGCCTACAAAGTGTAAACATAGGCCTAAGTAGGCGAGAACTTACTTGGCAGAGAGTTCATTTCTCATAACGACAAGATCAAATGTGGTAAACCGAGTCTTCATGTTGAGGCTAGGTTTTTCTCAAGATAACATATGGATGCAACCCAGTTCACCATATGCTTCACTATCCAATCAGGAAAACGTGGCACACTTGATATGAACCACTCGACACAGTCCGTGCGGCACGTGTTACATTAGGCCTTATCCACCTTGCAGTCTCAGCACTGTGCCTCGGGCGGCAGAAGCGCTGCTCTCTTTCATTTCGACCATACCCGATTTCCCCGCGTACTCGTCAGATGTCGCTAGCCGTGCAAAGACCTTCAAGCTTTGTGTTTTCGAATTGACTTTCACCTCCTTACAACGGCATTGTTGTCGATAATGCTCGAGGGACACCTAGTAATCGCGTTCATCATTAATTGCGAAGAGGAATAATGATGAATCAAGTTCGAGGTTCGACATCCCTTCAGACACGAGGTAGCTGCTTCTACACAACACGGGGAATTATGGTGCGCCTGTGAACGGGAGTAAAATTCAACTAAAAAACAATGGACGTCAGAGGTTGCACCGTTGCTCATACGAAGCCTTCGTGATAGTTAATAGGGATACAGTTACTGACTTTGTTCCCTTTTCTTCATGTCATCACGGAATCTGCTGTCTCGGCAGATTCCGCGACGATCGCGAGTCAGCACGGCCGAACTTTCCACATCGAAGCAATCTAAAGATATTGCCCCATGGTTCTGTGCCGTGCACTTGGACCAATTTCAATCAAATCCTTGACAATTGGAGTGACTACTTGGAAACCGGCAAACTAAATGTGAGAGGGAAAATGATCCCGCATTTCCACCACAACGCCCAGAGGGAATTCCCATCACCATCAGGCCAAAAGTGATTGAAATATCTTCTATCTTCTTACATCAGGCTTCAGAAATCGCTCAAAAGCGCTCGATATTGGTTTCATATTGAAGTCGTGAAGGTGGTAGGGAAGATCAGCAAACTCAGAGAACCTTCTTGTCGATTATCTCCTTGCTTAACCCTTCTCCGGGCAAGGCATTTTGTGATAGACGAGGGCAGGGGCAAAAATTGTCATTTAAAAAATTCCTAAAGGCAAATCAAAACTTAAAAAAAAAAACTCGGTTTTGTTTCGTTGGATAACTATAGAAGGCACTTTAAGCTTGCAGAAAAATTGGGAATTTTCCTCATGGAATGATGAAATGAGATATACCCTGGGGAGTCCAATGGACTCCCGTTGCCCGGATATGGGTTAACCTTTTACCTACGTATTTTTAAATCCCCTGTACATGCAGCGCTACGAAATCTCTCTGCACATAAACACGCCTTGCTAAACTCGAGAAAAGAAAGAGTTATATTCTCATTACTATTTGCCATGGAGACATGAAAGAAAAAGTATTTTGCAGAAGGAACAAGTATGAATATTGTTTCTACGGTATTACGATTCGTTGAACAAGGAATAATTTTTCGACTCCGAAAACTGGGATTTCGTTTGATAAAGGCTAATAATCTATACTCAGCAAATTTTTTTCGTCCCAGCTGACCAAGGCGAGACTGCGATTGTGTCTGCAAGGGCACGAAAGAGACCTTTGCATCGAGTCTGCTCCGGGGCATTTTAAACCTTTCTGCGAAGAAGGAACGATTTCGCCCACTTTCAAAGTCCGATCGGCCGTTTGCAACTCGTGCAAAAGGATTGGGAGCTTTTCAGATAGGGATTTGCTTCTCCGGCAGAGATGACTTCGTGAATTGAATGGGAACGTGAATTCGCTTCTTTTTTTTTTAATCGAGACCTTGGAGGAGGAGGAGGGGGGGGGGGGAAATACTTTCGCAAAGCGACACATTTCAGATGGAGCAGTCGTGGCTTTCGTCCTCGTACGATCTCGTTCAGAAAAAAAATACTCGCTTGAGAGTATTTTATTTTAATGTGATACTTGTGTTCCTAACTAATGGATAGGTGGAGGCGACATGCAAGCTACTTAATTAGATGGAGTTGGTAGTTCAAGGTCGTCTTCGAAAGTGAAGAAATGCTCACTTTTTGTCGTGCTTGAAGAATATGCCAAAATAAATGGGCTTCGCGGACATGAAAATATGCTTTCAAGAAATTATGATCTTTTCTTGCTCAAATAAAGCCAGGGGGGGGGGGAAACATATCTCGGCGTGAATGATGACACAAAAACGGTTAGGAGTGAAAGAGAAAGCACTCCTTTTTTTCGAAACGTTTATTTAAAGAGGAGTCTTTTTTTCTTGTCCAGAAAGGAAGTTCAGGTCATATACTCATAATGGTCAGCCCCGAAAGTGTTCATTATGACTCCACAATGGTTTCCTCGCTCCTCGACTTGGAGTTTTTATTACCATGCATAAATCTCCGGAAATTGTCGGAATTGTTTAGAACAAGGAACGCTTGAGTAAAGTCATAACCGTTAACAGCAATAAACACAAAACGATAAAAAATTATGGTAGTCATTAAAGTAAATTAAATGAGTCGGGTTAATTACAAATGGGCCACATGCAATCCACAATGTATGGACATCGAATTCTGCAAAGGGAATGAATCGATCGAAATCGTCCGCGATTACGTCCATCTTCTGGGACGGCAGAGCGGCGACTGCGGAAGGCAGTGCTCCTTGACGTCCGGCACCGCAGACGCGTGCGACATCTGGCTTGTTTTCGTGGAGTTACTGCATTGTAAGATGGCTGTCGCTGTACGTTTGCAGTGGTTTTCCGTCGCATTCACTCGCCATGCCCGTATCTGAGTGGCGCCACGATTCATACGACTTGAGCAACATCTGCCGTCTCGAAACGGCTGACCCTGGCCGCGTCGGGGAATCAGCGGCGAGTAGATGTTGGTCATTGACTCGCAGGACCTCCTCCTCCTTGATTTCAGGGACGTATGTTGTAAAACTATAATTAAGTACTTCCCGCTTCCGTCGCAGGTTGCGAAGGTTTTACCAGTGCTTCTCCAGATACATCTGTCACATATACATTCTCAACAGGAACCTATAGCAACATGGGCGACCGCTATATGAAAGTTCAGCTCCACCGCTGCCAGAACAAGAGGAAACAATAGTTTACGTGTAGAGGAATTGGAAAGGCAATCGAAAAACATTGTATTTGTTCTGGTGACCTACATCTTTGCACATCTTTACAAGTGAATATGTACTCTACCTCCTTAATAAATGGTTTAAAAAAAAAGCTCAATTTATTATTAAGTTTTTCGTTTCGTTATGTTCTGAGTGTTCTGTTCAGTTCTGTGTCCTGTCCAGTTCTGTTTACTTTCTTACTTATTTTATTTTATTTATCTATTTTGTTCATTCATTTATCTATTTTTCTCTTCACCTTCCGCCTCTTCATGAGAGTATGTATATTTGTAGTTTTCAGATATGACGAACTCAACGGACCAATTGGTCTTGCAAGAGTGATGGAATAAATATTATTATTATTATAGTTTTTGCGGGTCGGGCAGAGGCGTAGCCAAGGTTTCACCTAAGGAGGGGGGGGGGGAATTCAAGGCCCCCTGCCCCCCCCCCCCCCCCCCCCCCCCCCCCCCTAAGGGGGGGGGGGGGGGGGAATTCAAGGCCCCCTGCCCCCCCCCCCCCCCCCCTCTCGCTATGCCACCTGGGGAGAAAGAGAGGGGAGAGGGGAGACGGTGTGCCTTTAAGTACCCTATTAATGTACCATCTGGGACATTTGTCCCAGAGAGGTTCATATTCATGGATTCTTGCATGTTTTCAGGCAATTTTGGATTCTAACACTATCGATCCTGCACCACCCTCCGTTTCCCCACCGTTCATTTATTCAGATGAAATGGCATGCCCGATGCGGAAGCGACGCAGCGCCTTTTCAATTCATTCTTTCCCCTCGCCAAAACTCAGCATCGTCTCGGGAATTCAATATCGTCAAAAACGTTCTTCGGGCGGAGTCGGAGACGAAATGAGTTCCAGGGGAGCGCTTCTCCCATTTCAATCAGCGAGAACCGAAGAATTTCATTCTCCCTCTCCCCCAGGGAGACATCTAGCGTCGATTGCGTGAAGTTATGAAACACGATCGAGGCCCACCCGAAACTTTCTCCCAGGGCGTTTTCAGGGCGACATAAGACCCCGGCCTGGCAGCGAAAGCAGGATCCCTTCGTGCTGGCGGACGCACGACAAGGAAACTGAAGCAAGCTCATTTGTTAGTGCATCCACAAAACGCCCCGTCATTGTGCTCATTATTTAGCAACGATTTACGAATGTAATTGAACGTACATTTAAAATAATCCATCAACCTCATAATCACAGTTCGCTAGAAAACATGAATAAAACTGGAAGAATTGATATTTTGACAAGAATGCGCGAAATATCTAGTGTTTTTCACTCAAGGAAGTCATTTTTTTCGATTGACTTCGACACTCATGCATTAGGAATGCACGAGTGTCTGAGTCATATATTAAATAAATTGAGTAAATATTGTCGGAAGTGAAAAACACAGTAAAAGGGAGGGGATTGGGATCAGCGGAGAAACGTTAAAAATTGAATTCAAAGAAAGCTAAATGTCTTAGAAGCGCATATGGGACAATTATGACGTGGGGAAGATGATGCAACAGCGCACATGACACACGTCCACAGTCATGCTTGAAAGGGGGAAGACAACGTTAGTCCAGTTGGCTCTGGGCGGGTGGAATTGCTGGCGTGTAGGCAGCGGAGCATCGGCATTCGACGAGAAAATGCTGGTCGGGTGGAACGCAAGGAATCCGAAGCCTGGCAAGAGCCAGCATTGTTCGGTTCTCTCTTACTGATTTTTTCGCTTTGCACACTCACACGCATGCACACACTCGGCGCGATCCCTCTCGTCACCTTGAGGCCAAAGCCAGCCCATAACGAAGATGGCTGCTGCTTTGTCAGCTGTGACTCTGACGCACTAGTTCCACATTTCCCAGCTGAAGAGGTCAAGTCGTGCTTTCTTCTCGGACCGACGTCAGACCAAGGTCCTCACGTTACCCGTTTGTTAATATCGTAGAAAGGAAAAATATTCCGATGTCCTACTTTCAGTTTAGGCCTAACGTTAGTCTCTGAGACGTACGTTTTGCCATAATCCATATATGTATTTTCTACAGATAATTGTTTGGCTAATGCCTAAGCTTTGATTCAACTGGAACTCACAAATTTGGTAGGTCTTGACCCGAGGTGTGACTTATTTTCGTTCTGGGCTGAAATGGAGGGGATGGTATCCTGTCGTGATAGGGTTTACGTACCTCTTCCTGAAGATTTGTTAGTTGACCCAGTAAGTACTAAGGCAGAACAGGCACGCATGTCATAGTCTGGGAGTACTAGTCTTGGGAGGTGCTGTAATTTTTTATTATTTCATTATGAGCACTGCCTATGTTAGGCCTATGGTAAGCCTACAGTTCTTTACAACCTTGAGCTTCATGTTTTTCTTGAGGTAGGATAGGCCCAAATAACATAATTGTCCTCTGCTTGCATTTTTAAATTATTATTTACTTAACTGGTGTCGGGTTTGATGGTGAATGTGTAAGTATCTGGGTCAGCTGAACCTGTCATTTAACTGAAAGCCAAATATAAGAGTGGGACCTGACAAAAAAAACAAATGTGAGATCCAGCTGTGATTTCTTGCTGAACTCACCCCACTGTTGACTTCCTCTGGCTTTATTTTAAGTCAGATTTTGGTCTTGGCTAGGAAATACATCCTGAGTCTCACACCCTACATGAAGTTTGAGCTTAAGCTTAGCAATCATAGACTCTTCAACACATGGAGCCCACTAGGATGTTCACTCCTCTCACCATTATGTCAGACAGGCCTATGTTGAATGTGGAAGTTATGCTGCCATTAATGATGGCAGCATAACATGTGACCTCTATGACAAGTGGGAATGTATCCCTCCAAACTTCACAAGTAGTTGGTAGTAGGCAATCATAGGTAGCAGTACAGACTTAAACAACACCTACAACTGATATATTAAGGATTGTGAATTCCAATACTGATCCTAATTATGCCAACTGGGTGTGCACAAGGTAAAAGAATACCAGATCTTCCTGATCTCCGTAATAATTGAATAATACATCACAGCAAGGATTTGATTAATGTAATCCTGAAAATATTGGCTCAGTACTATAGGTGAATAAAAGACCTTAGATCATGTTCAATTGCACATCAATTTTTTACATATTACATTTTATGTCCTGAAATGTATATTGCATATTTTTGTCTGATATCTTTCTTTGATATCTTTGCCTGACATTCCAAATTTTGCTTTCAGCAGTTTTTTTTCTTCATTTTTTTGCACATTTTTCTCATTTTGACATAAACCCCAAATTGAATAAAATTGTTTAATTTTGGCATTTTTTATGCAATGCGTTCTATTTAGGTGCCTTTAAGAAAATGTTTATAAAATGTGAATGTTTTTCTCCAAGGCATTCACATATGCAGTAAAGGTTAAGGGGAGTAAAATTTCATTTGCAAAACTCTGGAGGGTAAGGTGGGATTAATTGGGTGGTGGGGCTAATCAGTCACGATTTATTCTGTAAGCTAAGATAGCCAAAAACCTTTGAAACCTCAACCCGTCATGTCATTCAACTGCATATTTTGCCCATGAATGAAATCTGTAAATGGTGATACAGAAGAAATCATGATTGATTAGCCCCACCTTACCCTACATATATTAGACCTCTTTGTAGACATGGATGTAGGTTAAAGTAAACATTATGTCAGCAGCTATTCATATAGGATATTTTTCCTAACATTCCTGGTATTCTGTGCAACTCATACTCACTGATTTTATTATGCATTTAAATTAATGAGGCTTCTTTCTTTCTTTCTATAAATTATCTCATAACTGGCTACAAGTATGACTTTCAGGGATTGAGTTTGGAATGCCAGGCTTACCTGATGGAGTGATTAATTCAATTGAAGGACATGATTAGTAGAGGATTGAATATATTGATTGATAAGCACAACCTTTTAAATGTAGGCCTAGGTCCAAGCCAAGAGAAGTGCAGTAATTCATTGGAACTACATATTACAATAAATACACGGTCTAAGTTAGGAATGAGAAACAGTAATGCCTTCCTAATTCTGGACGAATATGAGAGTTACCATTATAGCTAGCCTGTAATGCTTGTTTGCCATTAAATAAGAGATCATTTCCAAAAAAAAATAGGAATGTGCTATGTATCACCCATTTGTGATTGAGTAGGAGTTAACTCAATCACAAATGGGTGATACTTTTTTTGGAAGCAATCAAAACCCCATCTAAGCTCTGTAATACTTAAATACATTACAGGAGATAAGCTTCACTAGATTAGTTTTGATATGGTATGCCTATATAGCCTGTGATTTTCTTTTGCAGATTGCTGGCCAAGAATTTACAACAAAAGATGCAGTGTGTTTTCAAAGTTCGGGTTTTTTGACAGTTGGGAAGAAGTCCTCACCTGCTAAGTTGGTGATGCTTACCATCTTCATGAATACCTGCCTGTGTAGTGGATCTCCTGATAAACTTGAGTGGTTCAGTGCTTCTTTTCAATTCCACTGGCAGCTGCGTTTCTTAGTTTGAACATTTCATATTAGTCTGGACTATGTGATCCACCTGAGAAACTTCCTAGTGTATGCATTGATCCTGGAATCCAGTGGTGGCTCAAAAGACGGTGGTGTCTCACCTGAACCACCGCGCAAAAAGGCAAGTGTCCCAGTTTGCATGTATTCTTGTTCATTTCATTTGGCATTCAAATAGACCTTGATTGATCCTCACATAAGTCTGTGAGTTAAGAATAATTCCAACATTAATCCTTGTAAACTCCCCATTAAGTTTTCATGCAAGCTGTCTGACTTTTACCTGCATTGTCATTTTCTCTAAACCTTGCAGATAATCTTTTGTCACAATGAATACTCTGGTGTAAGGTGTATCTATATGTTCTGGGGAGAGATAGCTTTGATCTAAAATTTAGCCTTGTTTCATTGTTTTATTCCCATCAGAAATGATCAGCATCAAGCACTCATATATCTTGCAACAGATCATTCGGTTCTGAGGGCCCTTATTTCACCTGCACCTAAGACCTTGGGGGTTTCATCCTCCTTGGTCATCATTGAAAAAATTTTCATTTTGCTGTGCCCCTTTGGCAGTATGAGCAATAATCTGCTAAATTGATTGCATCCCCCAAGTTTGATCAAACTTTTTTTTAATTATCAATTTTCAAGATGTCATTCATTACTTCTGAGAAGGAAGAACAGTATCAGAACTCAAAGGACCTTGGGATATGAATTTGAAGTGATGGAACATCCCACATTTCTATTTTTACTTTGTGCAAGTATCAGCTAGTACTCTGAGTTTAGTACCAGTTGTAGTCATCTCTGCATTTGAAACATGTCCAGAGATGCACATGGCTCTTTATACGGCTGGATCTCTTTCAATCATTCCTTGTAGTGCCTCTCTTATGAAACTAGATAATAGATTTTCTGCCCTCATCCACATGTTGGATGCTTCTGTGTGTTCCATATTGCTGCCATTTGCAATCAACTCCTCTTGAAGGTATTTATTTATATTTGAAAACTGTATAATCTACATGCAAGATATATGTGTTGGAATAGGTAATGAGGTCCAATTAACAACAAAATTGTTAGTATTTCTATCGTATATATTTATATTACAAAGTGCATTTATTGTTGAGGGAACACATTACTTACATTTTCATCAGATGAAGAGTTCATTGTAAGAATAGGTCAACAGCAGGTGATTGTAACATACAGTGGCTTTGATGCCATCCACTAAGAGTTTCAGCCTGGTGGGGACTAGGGAAAAAGTAGCAGGAAATGACAAACATAGCAATTTTGAATTTATTGCCCATAGGAGCTGTGAATTCCTGATTCACTGTTGTGGTATGTATTCATGTTTTCAGTTCCAAAGGTCACAGGAGCAATAATGATTTGGATAAGAAGCAGTAGTCTTTTTCTCCCTTGTTCATTCATGTCAGAGCACCATCTATTTAGTCATGCCAAAAGTCCCTTTAAAAGAGATTGAAATAGGCCTATGTGGGATCGAGGAGAAAGAATAAATTCTGTGTCTAGCTAAACTAACTAAAGTGAAAGGATGACATAAATTACATAACTTTCTCTTTTTTTTTTGGCAGAGAGATTGGGCTTTCTCCTTTTCATGCCTATCAACAGAGCAGTCTGAAACATCATGGGCCAAGGTACCCCATAACAAGTAACTGGTAGTCCTAGAGCAACTGCATGCTTATGGGAGCTTTTCCTCTAATAACTTAAAGTTGTATATATGCACTCTGAGTTATTTTTTCTCAATTCCTCTTCACTAATTGCACAATTCATAGAACTGTATTTAAATTTGAAGGAACTAATATTTTTATTGCCCTTGACAATCATAGTCAATGGAGGTATTGATCTATGCCAATGAATTTGTATGTGGTATGGTCATTCTATGAAGAATCACTTCATCAGTTCCTTCTGTTGACAATATTGGTACAATATCCATGAATAGTGGAGGATTTTGTCCAGGAAAGCCAAGATATGGTGTTTGAATAAAGAGGGGATCTCATATTACTTGTTGCTTCTAAATTGCTTGAGTATTGCTGAACCTAATTGTGTATTAACTTTCACTTTTCTCCTTCTATTCTCTTATATTCACAGGTTCTGGGGTGTGAGTTCATCATAAATCTGTATATTTTCATGTTGTTATTCTTTATGCTGTCAAATTGACAATCCTTTCAATTGACCAGGCTCGGGTTGAGATGCAACAGGCTCACCTTGAGATGCAAGAGCAACGGACTCAGGGGACTCATCAGAATGGTGTAGTGGTAGACTGTGAGGAGCACAAAGAGAATGTGAAAAAAGCCTCCATGGTTAATAGTCAACCCTCAGCTGATGAGTCCCCCAATCTCACCCCAGTTCAGTATGATGCAGTCAGACTGGTTGGTCAATATCTCCTGGAACTGGGATTGCAGTAAGATCATTCTCATCAAATGCACATTCTTCATCTCAGGTAGTTAGTAACATCAAGGTTTGAGATATTGCTGCTTGTTTTCATAGCCGATCAGTGGACTTGCTCATGGCAGAGTCAGGCTGTCGTCTGGATCATCCAGCAGCAGCCAAGTTCAGGCAGCATGTGATGAATGGGGAATGGGCAAAAGTAGGCAGTATTCCATCATTTTACATTTGCATTTTTCCAGAATACATATTTTTGACATTTATATCTTGGATCAACATTCTTTCATTGCAGGCAGAAGCTGATTTGATAGAGATAAGCCCTTTTCTCAAAGCTCCTCAAGATGTCACAGTGAGTACCATGTCAATATTGTTGACACCTTTCACTGCTGTTATCTAATATCTTTTATAAATCATGATTTTTGCTTTTCCAGAAAATGCGTTTCCTCTTGCTGGAGGAGAAGTTTTTGGAATTGGCTGAGGAGCATCGAACTGTTGAGGCTTTGAACTGCTTGAGAAGAGAACTCAGTCCCTTAGGATATAATACAGAGCGCCTTCATCAACTAGCAAGGTCAATGTCCATAGTGCAATGGAGTCTGGATTATTCTCTGAATGTATTCCCTGGGAATTATTCCATGTTCTGCCTTCAGTTGGCTGATGTGTGGTGGGGGAGAGGAGCTAAGACAAAGTGCCAGTTGGTCAGGACGAGGCCAACATTCACGGAGTCATTTGATGGAAGAACTCCAAGCATTTCTCCCTCCTGCCATCATGTTACCTCCTCAGCGTCTCAAGACCCTCTTAGACCAAGCCATTGAATTCCAATGTGAAAGATGCCTCTATCATAACACTTCTGCATCAGTTCAAAGCCTCCCTTCATTCACCCTCCTCACAGATCATGTTTGCTCCAAGTATGTCTCCTATTTTGAGCAATTTTATTGCAAAAATCCTTTGGCAAAAGTTTTTTTTAAATTAGTATTTTTTGGCATGAGGCCTGGCATAATGGGTGTGCTTTGCAGGATTAGTTTTTAAGAAATAGCTCCCTATACCTTTTTATGGTAGGTATGTACAGTGGTGCAGAGAAAAGGGAGTTTGAGGAAGCTATTATTGTTGCCTTTGCAGGGACTCTAATTTGCTTGTCATTTCTTACCTCAGTTTGACTGCTGCATTGCCATCTGGTTGGTAGAAAATAATGAGGTCTTCATTAATCAAACTTGTAAGGAATCAAATTTGAATATGATGTATTTTGCATAAGTGCATTATTGAATCATGTGAAATGAGAGGTCACATGTGAAAGTGGTTGTGAAGCAGATCATGGAATTTGACGGGTTCAGAAACCTTAATGAAGAACAAAAGGGTGAAGTTTCGTAATACATGTGAACATGAGCCGTGAGACTTAGAAGTTGTGATGGAAGTATCTGTTACAATTATAGGATAAATTATCAGTTTTCTATTTGTTTGATCTTGACTAGTTATCAATATATTTTTTTTTTCAATGGGATTTATCAAGGTCTTTATATTTCATGCAATACAGAGATTCACTGAGATAGTATATATTGAGTTTTGCAACTGACATGTTTGCAGGGAACAGTTCCCATGTGAAACCATTCAAACCTTGGCTGACCACAGTGATGAGGTCTGGTTTTGCCTCTTCTCTCCTGATGGAAGGACATTGGCAACTGGTTCCAAAGACACAACCATTATTTTGTGGGATGTTGAATCAGTGAGTCTTGTGAAATTGCTTGCAAGATTATGGCCTGAATCTTTGTATGTTTACTTGGACATCTCAATTTGCCTCCAAGGAGTCCCTGACAGTCAGACACAAGAAAACGTTAGATGGACATGGGTATGGAGTCGCATACATGGCATGGAGCCCTGATTCTCGGTGGCTGGCTGCCTGTGGATCTGATGAATCATCAGAAGTATGGATTTGGGATGCTGAGTCAGGAGACTTGAAGGTTAAAGTAAACCAGTCACCTGATGATTCTCTCACCTGTGTGGCCTTCCATTCATGCTCAACCAAATTTGTCACTGGGGGCACTAAGGGCCAATTTTACCAATGTGTAAGAAAACACCTCTTCATCCAGGCCTGTGGGTGTGGTGGAAAGAATTGTCACTACTCCTCACATTTGTCTCCAGGATATTGACGGAAACATCCATGACACATGGGAGGGAGTAAGAGTACGAGCCTTGTGGTGCAAGGGTGATGGGAAAACAGTATATGCTGCTGACACCCATCATCGCATCCGTGGATACATACTCGAGGATCTCAGGGATTTTCCTGTGTTTGTATTTGCTCTAAATCATCTTGCCCCTTAAGTCTTGGTGTGGCTCATTATGCACTGTGCAAAAATTTTTTTTTCAACCAGTCTTCAAGAGGACCATGCCATCATGTCTCTGCATGTGAGCTCAGACTGCCGCCTTGCTCTTGTCAATGTCTCCAATCAAGGAGTGCATTTGTGGGACTTGGATAATAAGGCTCTCCTCAGGAAGTTTCAAGGACCCACACAAAGCCTCTACACAATCTATTCCTGCTTTGGGGGACTGAATGAAGCCTTTGTGGCAAGTGGAAGTGAAGGTGCTTGAATCTTTTGAAAGTCTGATGTGTACCTAAATGAAGTCAAAATTTGTGCATTAATATGTTCTCACCTGTCCATAGATCACAAAGTATACATTTGGAATGTGAAGAGAGAGGAGCCATTGGCCATGTTATGTGGCCACACAAGAAGTGTCAATTGTGTTTCCTGGAATCCCAAGGTGCCTCAGATGTTAGCTTCAGCTTCTGATGATGGGACAGTACGAATCTGGGCTCCTGCTGCCTTCTCATCACAAGGTGAGTCTTTTCCATATCAAAGGCATGCTCATCTCTTCGTCTTTAATTTTTATGTTATTTGTGTCCCAAGAGTGAATGTGCCAGCTTATATATGTATGTTTTTTAATATCTTCATCTGATTTTGTGCACCTGTGCTTTTCTCTTCATATTGTTTAATTACAGTAGCTTGGCATTTTTTAAATCAAGTAAAGTAATTTTTTTTATGTATTTGTAAAAGCATCTCTCAACAACATGTGAACCTCATTTACTTTTATGCACATTACATGTGTAGAGTCATTTAGAATGACAAGAAGGCGCGAAAATCATTTAAAATGTAACCTCCGCATAAAGCAACCAAAATGCAATATAAAAGATATTCCAATATCTTCCCTAAGACTGTGTGCTGCCTGCATTCAGTCATGTTGGAGAGTGCTAAAGAGATATCTTTGGTAAGGAACAGTATGCAGATTGCTTGTTCACTGCAGTTTTCAGAACCTTAATGAAAGATAATACATTTGAAGCTCTGGATGAAAATTTTTAAGCTTGACAGAAATCTCAATTGAGGAGTGCCCTGGGAAAGGGGTGTATGGGCACATACGCCCTTTTTCCATATTCGTGTCCATGCACTGCTTTAGGGGACTAGTCAATGGATACAGTGGTCAGCAAGTAGTTAACATGTGTATTCAGGAAGAAGAAGCAGATTTTCCTACACTCTCACTATATAGCAGGCCAACTGCCTGGAAATTCCAATATGGCGGCCTCCATGAATATTCCATTAGCACTTGCATGCTGAACGATTTTGGTGGAATCATTTCGTCCTTTCAAACTGAAAGTGAAAACGAGGACGAAACCAGGCATAAGGAAAGGGAAAGAAAGAGACCCATGGGCCTCTTTCATTCATTTCAGTCATTCAAGCTACTGGAAGGATGTGAGAAGTTGGAGGTATCCATAAAATAGTTGCAGATTCAGATGATGATACATTAATAATGGAGCACTGCTGAGTGATTGGTGAATGAAATGTGTCCTGAATATTCACATTTTCATTGCTATTCTTCAAGAAAGAGTTTATTTGAAATTTGAAGATGCATTTATTGATTAATTATTATTTTTAACTGAAAAGGAACAGTAAAAGACTTGGAAAAAGTTTCAGCAGTGTGGATATGGAAAAGGGGCATATGTACATAAACACTTTCTGCTGGCATCTCTGCAATGTGAGATAAAGAAATTCATTACAACCCCAAGTTCAATAGGATAAAGGTCTAAGATACCATTTTACTGATAATTAAGTTTTGACCAGCTTCAGGTTAGCTACGGGAAGTTTTTATCATTTATCTCGAATTGCATCTTTTGCACATAGACTCTTTTTCTAGAGAACTCCTCAATTATTCATCTAATATATATAATGTGCAGAAAATCATGAAGCTCACATTTATAGGTGTCTGTTTCAATTTTTTCATTGCAGGGAAGTGATAGTGAAATCATTCTAGGTGAGATCATGTGGACCATGTCATCCCCTTATTCTGCCGTCCTCGGTCAGACCGCATTCTAGTCCGGTGTGTGTCTTTGTGCAGTGAGAGGGGGACCCTTCTCAAGAGGCTGAGCCATTTTTATATGTCTTTCATTTATGCATGGCGAGGATGATCTTCCCAGTCTCAACAGACTGCAATAAGCACCTTGCTCATGTGCTCCATTTCCTTCCTGTGACAAATGAAGATGGGTCTTGCACAGTGAACTGGTGATTGCCCCGGAGGCTGTGGACTCGTGCATTGATGAGAAATTGGAACAGAGCTCGAGGGATCATGTTGTCTTGGTTTGATTTTGGTTGCCTCATCCAGGAGTGCACTGCAGTGCATTTTCACTTGTGCACCTTTTGTGAAGTGTCATCCTGTTCTGTATCCCAATGAGGACTGTTCAGAGCCTCAGTGGGCTCTCTTGTGCAGAACTTGAAATCTGATTCCTTATACATGGCAACCAAAAGGGAAAGTGAATCTCATAATGATCTGCTACAAAGGCAGAACCATGAGCTCTCACTTTCCCAGTGAATTAATAAGGTGCACATATATTCACTGGTATGAGTGCCAGGAGTCTCAATTTAACTACAGTCAGCACCCAACCTGATCAGCCAACCCATGGAGGTGAAGCTCAGATTCATGTTTGAATTTAAAGTAGTTCACAGTTTTCCCATTCTTGAAGATATCACTTGATCAGTTTTTTTCATCTTTCTCAAAAACTTCTCAAGGGCCTTTTTTTTTTTACTTTTTTTTATTTAAAAAAAAAGTCAATGTCTTGTGAAGGTATTTGTGTGAACAGCTCTCCATCCTTAGAGACGTGGGAATGGATATCACCATGGACTCCATGGCTGAAGTGTATCATAGAATGGGATTGTGAATAATATCAGTAAGCTTTTGACTTGACTAATATTGTGGTTTGAAACTATCATTGCTTTGTGAATGTTTCTTATCGATGCAGAATAGAACAATTATAATATTATTTATACACATGCTCTCCAGTGACTTTAATACTTTTTTGTGTCTCACAACACCAAACAAATACACCAAAAAACTACAAATCTGAAAGTGCTACAAGTGGTTCCTGCAAGTCTGGAGACCTGAATTTCAGGCCTTCTTGGGTCCTGAAGACTCAAATGACTCACTTGCTCATTCTCCTTGTCACATGTTGTCATTTTTCATGTATTCTGTTTCACAGTTAGATTTCAGGGGTGTTTTTTTTTATCATCCCTTTCAATGCAATTACTCTGCTTTTCCAAGTTTAATTTTTAATTATCAGAAAACTATCTCCATGTTGAAAGGGGTGTGGGTACACCATTTAGCTGCATAACACACAGCTGTAGAGAACACTCAGGTATATGTGATGTGTCCAATGAGATCTGGGATGGTGGTTTACTTAATTACAATAAGAATCAAAATCTGTGGGCATTGCAAATATTTTTGAGCTCTTGCTTGTCAAGGCCTGTAGTTCAGGCTTCATGATATTCCATATCAGGAATGGAAACCCAGGATATTTAAGAAATTGGCTTAGCATTATCACTGCTGATAAAGAATATCAGCTGGATGAAGGTACCAGTACATTGGTACCAGTTGGTTCTTTTGTGATCATTAATTCAAACCTGTAATGCCCCATATTCTACAATTTATTATTCAAAGTAATGAGATTTCAGTTGCAGATGGTTAACTAAAATCAATTGTCCACCCATGTGCCATTCTGGTATGACAGGAATGTGGATACATGTCAGAATAAAAAGTTTTAAATGGGATAGGAACATGGTTTAGAATAGGTAAATTACTGAAAATTACTGGGTTAAAATGTCATTTTATTACGGCAAAAACTGAAAAAATGACATTTTAGCCCAGTAGTTGTACTTTATTAGGTGAAGATAAGCTTTCCTCTCTCCCAAATTCAAATTTGAGAACAGCCTGAACACCTTCTCACAAACATGAACAGAGAAAATTAGATAGAACTAACATCTCGGCTGAATTATTGGAAGCAGGAAAAAACTGCCAGGCCACCTTCGTTGATCATACTTCCCTCTAAGCTACAATTGCTCCCAGTTAGAGAAAGAGCCAAATAATACCAAAAATGCCTTGACATTCTTGCTTTACAAACTTGCAGTGTGACATAATGATCTACTTATGCAGAGTGTCCCATAAGTCACTAGACTATTTCAGAAAGTCACATTTACGAAACAGTTGATGCAAAAAAGAAGTAAAATTAACTGAAAGATAGCAAGTCATTTGGAATTATCTTTGGTAAAAAAAAAGGAGATATTTCTGTGTTTTGAAAGTGCCTCAAAATGCTGTCTGCCTGTATAGAACATTTGGCATGAGGCTCAGCTCCTAAAAATCGTCAAAACTCTCTTTGAATTCTGATGGGACTCTCAAAGACCTCCATCCAGGTTGCAACTTTTCTTCATTGCTTCAGCATTCTAGTGAAGCCTTTTATCATGACAGTGAAAGCAAATTAAATGAAAGTTTTTTATGTTTCTCAAGTCCATCTAAAATAGGAGAGAAAAACATTAAGTTTAACAATTTTGTAGAAGGTTCAACAAGGTGTACCAAAAATGTCCCAAAACAAGTACACTTTCTAATATGCATTTGAAGCTATTTCTGTTTGAGTCTATTTCTGTCTATTTCTGTTCTTTATTATCAGTCATGTAATCAATTGGGCAATTTAAGTTCAAGCTTGTGGTGGTTCCATTTGAGTGGTTGCACTCTCTTTGAAAGCATGTGTTTGAGACGAACTGGATGATCGTACTTCTTGCGGCCTTCTCTGATTCCCTCGCTGTCTTGAATCGCTCTTCCCTTGCATCCCGACCTGACCTCGATGCATCTCCAGTATATGGTCCCACAGCTTCCAAGTGAATCACATTTGTAAATATACCCGTTTAGAACGAGCTCTTTGTTTCCTATTTGATTTTTGACGAATTCAGCCATGATCATGAACTCCTCGTCGAAATCCTGACTGACTGAGGTGAGGCATCTGCATGCTCTTATAGGGACATAGATGCTGAGATACCTTCAGCCACAAAAGTTGACCTTCAGGATTAACAGGGATTAGAAAGAGGAACCAGGAGGCATCACTCGAAGTGAAATGAATAGCCACAATATACCATAATGATATATTATCTTCTTGCAAATGCTCCAAACAATGGCATCTTACTTTCCTCCCCATACTCCACAGGGGGTATGAGGGGGTTGTCTAAAGCACTATTTAAAGATTTTCTCACATGATCCTCAGTAGGGAGTTCCACCACTCAGCCTTCCTCCGGATCAACACGCTCCTATCTCCGAGTTAATTGCAGGTGACCAGGCATTCTCATGTCAAACTTCAAGTGTCACACTTCAATTATCCCATTGCCATCGGAGTGTCTTCAAAGCATGGGCTAAGAAGCTACATAATCCCACATGCCTGATCTAATTTCAAATGACCTGTTTCCCACGTTTTTATGTGCATTCCTGGAAACAATCCTACTTTTATTGATCCAGTGTTGAAACATTCAAGAATTTTGCAAATTTCCTTCATGTTCATGTTTTATTACATTGTTAATCATTTATACTCCAGTAGCACATAACATCAAATCAATGTTGATTCAATATTATGTAATACTAGGGTATATTTATATATCAAGTGGGCATTTGTGCGAACATTGCAGGTATGGGCATTTTCTGTGGACACTTCGTATATTCGATCGGGAATATGGAATTCGAGATTCCATCCATTCGAGATTCTGTCCACTTACCTTTATAAGATCTGGTCCTGAGTGTTCAAAATAAGTAATTATGCCTGTAGTAGATTCATACATGCTCCTGCCCTTGTACCTTGTATAATGTTCCCAAAGTCTGAAAGCAGCCTCTTTACTCCAGTCAAACTAGCAGAACCAACATGAGATCTACAAAGGCTTTGGGACTAGTTTTGTTCTCAGTTGCCTTCCATGAAGTTCTTCTGCACTCTAGAACCAGTTGAGATATTTAGATATGCTCATGAGAGATAGCTTGACTCTTTTATTTGCTTTATGGGCATGTATAGAGCTGTGCACCCAACACTACTGAGAAGAGAAGCATAGGCCAGTATCAGAGTATTTTTGAATTTTTAATTCTTGAATTAGGGGAGTTTATGAACAATTTCAAGTCAACATTCCCACATTTCTGGTATTTCCCAGTTTTTCCCCAATAGAATGAAAAATATGGCTTTTGTTTTGCAAATTGAACCCTGGGTGAAGGTTTATTCCTTGACTAAGATCACATCTCTACATTAACCTAGTCACTTCATTCAAGAAGAAACAGTTTTGGTTGGAATAATGCCCTAGTAGAAGATGAATCAGTATTTCAAGCAAATCCTCTATAGATATAACAAATATTAGGTGCTTTGTGCTTTATGATTATAGCATTTTTTATAGCCCAATGCATCTTATTGTGGTTTCTATGTCTCAAAAAGCCAAGAATGAAGTCAGTGTGGTGAACCATTTATCTTTAAACTCAGTTTTTTTCATGTATTTCCATATTGCATCATTGATAGGATTTGCAGAGAAGTCAGTCTATCATGGAAGGAGAGACAGGTGAGAATGAAAGCAGTAGCACAACAGAACAGAAAATTCAAGTGCATGCAGAGGACAATGAGGCTATTGATGCCAAAGAGGTGAAAATGGACATCAAACCAGATGAAGAGAAAACATCCAAGAAGAAAAAGAAGCCAAAGAGAGTACTCCATTTCCGAGATGGCACCATGGAGGAATTCAGTAGTAGTGATGAGGAGAAGGAGGAGGGGCAGTCACAGGCATCACAGAAACAACTTGCAGATCTTGTGAGTCATGTGGTCCCAGATAATTGCTGTTTGTTACCAGACCATGACTTTACTTATGGGGATGGGCTCTTATTGGGATTGCAGAAGAAACTGTCCTGGATGCCTTGGGCATGGGAGGTGACTCTCCTTGCAGGGTATAAAGCTTTGGCTGTGTGTGATTACCTGGGCGAGACCTTTGCCTCCTTCTTAGGCATAACCATGCCTAAATATCAGTTTGAAATTGATGAGTACAACCGGCTCCAAGAGGAGGTGAGCTTCAGTTTCCATTACCCAAATGACCACTTTCTCCTATGCAAGGCTACCTCTTATACCGTATAGGGTTGAAAGTAGAAATCTTTAATAGTTTTCCTGTTTCTGTCAAGTGGATGTAATAAAAGGAGAATTCATGTGTTAGATCAAGGACTACTGAAGTTTTTCTGTTTTGAAATGAGAGTTTTATCTCTCTGTGCCATTTTTTTGTTTCTTGGGAAAGCAAGGAGTTCAAATTCTGGCACATTGTACTGTGTGGAACTCTAGCATTTCTAGTACCAGAAGTGGACTGCTACTGGAGAGCAGAAATGTCTACCTTGAGTTAAACTGTTTTAGATGTGTAGAATTTATGTTGTTCCCAATAAAATTAGTAAAGTTTCTTCATACCCAGCCTAAAGGAAACAGAGGGATTCAATTCTTACTACCAGATTTTTGAGGGAAGACTCAAGGATCAGTCAACAGAATGCATCAAAGTGTTCATTTCTCTTTGCAAAAATTTTGTTTCCAAACATAAATATCAAGAAATACCTTTTCAATAAAAAATTCCTTGCTCGCTGTATCTTCCTGGGTTTGTATATTCCCTTCGTTAGTTTTTTGCCAGTCAGTCAATCTTGCAATAACTGAAAATTCATGGTATGATTTAAGCATTCCAAGTGAATAAAAAGGACTATTTCAGCTCAAATTGCCCTAAAAATGAGAAGCTTTTCTTGGAATGGAATAATATTATGATGTGGATATGTGCTCTGCTTGACGCAAGATTGGGCAGAAAGCACACTTTTGTCTTCTCTTGTCTGGAGACTTAAAGTATGTCAATGACAAGTCTTCCAGGTAACAGAACTTGTTAACCAATGTGTACCACTTTTTTTTCTCTCTCTTTAAAAATGTCACTTTCATTAGCTTATTCAAATAAGCTATGTTTTGGGTTATGTTTCCTCAGTGTTTTTTAGTCTCAATTGGTGAAGGATGATCTGTTTATTGCATTTGCAGGCAAAGGAACATGAATTGACAAATGCTGGATGGGAAAGTGGCAAACAGAATAAATTCATCCTTGACTCAATGGAAGGAGGAAAGGAACGTGTTGAAGTTCATCCAGACTCAACCAAATGGCAAAGATTCTGAATAAACTACCTAAAATTCTGTGATTTTTTTGCCCTCTTGATGTGGTTTTCCTTATTCCATTCATCACTATGAAATTGATTGGCCTGGTGATTTTATTTCTCCTGGATGAAACAGGATTGCCTTGTTATGTGCCTTGGTTTCCATTTCAATTGTGCCTTTATTCCAACTGCTGGCCATCCCCATATGTTGTGATTTTCTTCTTTACATTATTGGAGGAATTCCATCATATATTTGCTGTCATTCAATGGTTATCATGCAATCATTGTAAGAAGAAAGTACTGCATTGAGGTTAGAGCACCATATTTGTAGATCACACTACATTGGTCAATTCTATATCAGATCAGCTCTTCATTCATAAAAATGTTGCACAGGTGTCTAAGGTAGGATAGAATGGTGCCTTTGTGTGCTTATTTATGCCTCACTCATTGCACAATTTGCAAGGTTATTGATCACAAAGCCTTCTGTGATACACTGATTCCTTCCATGTCCTCTTTATTGAGAGCATAATAAAGTGTTTTTAACAACTTCTGTGATTATTATGATTAATAATTGAAGAAAGTAGGATATAGTCTGGAATTAAATGTTTTTCATGTTCTAATTTGTTGCCTCTGGATTGTGTGATACAAGGATCTAAAAGAATTTTTGAAGTCTCTTCCATCAAATGGAAAAGACTCAACAGATAAATTGACTCAACATGTGGTATTACAGGGAAGAGCCATTGGGTGAATTTGAAGTCATTGTTTTTGTGAACATGGACCACATAGCAGAAAGCAAACACAGGGGATAGCACTAAGTATGAAGACCCAACCTGATGTCAGTATGCATTCCATCATTGTTGATGGTAAACACAAATGTCACCATGAAATGCTGACACCTTAACATAATAATCTGTGCTGGTGATTGAAAAGAAATGCTTTATACATGCACATAACTGAAACTTGGTGTCAAGATACAAAGCTTCTTCCTTTTTCCTCTGCCACTACTCTTGAAGAAGGCTCATTCACACAAAGAGCAAGAGCTGCATTCAAAGACAAAAGCAGTGCTTCATCTCATGTGATGGTGATTCTTGACCATATAGACCATATGCTTTTTGTACAAATGAAGCAACACGTTCTTCCATGCACAAAGAGCTAGGAGCTTGCTAACAGCTATTGACAGAAATAAATAAAAAACAGAACATGCCTTTTTTAAAAACTACTGGTATACAAGGTCTGACAATAAAATAACGAGATTGACAGCACTTTAATTTGTGAGGCAACACTGGGTTACTGGCGATTGCTTTAACCTGTCAGTGCATGTCTTAAGTCTGTGCAGTAACAAACTTGTCATGATACTTCAAGTGATTGCAAAGCAGTACCACTTTACCTAAAGTAGTGTTAAGGGCACTCATCAAAATATGGGTGATAATATTATGAACAAGGAATCAACATGAAATTTCTAATCAAACTTAGGAAAAAACCAACTGAAGTCTCTGAAATGTTCATCTTTCCATTAAAATCAATCATACTGTCTCTCTATTGATACACAGTTTTTGGAAATCATTCTGACAATAAGACGATGATCACTTAGCACCAGAGTTCTCACATTTTCAATGTTTTCATCCAATTTTGAAGTCGGTCGTCCAGGTCGTCTGTCAAACTCAACTTCTTCCCTTCCTTCAGAAAAGCGTTTACAAAGTTCAAAGACAGTTTGCTCTGGACATAACCTCATCTCCATGCACTTGTTTCAACATTTCAAGGACTTCAGTTGGTTTTTTCCCAAGTTTGATTAGAAATTTCACGTTGATTCTTTGTTCACAATATTATCACCCATTTTTTTGACGAGTGCCCCTAACACTACTTTAGGTAAAGTGGTACTGCTTTGCAATCACTTGAAGTATCATGACAAGTTTGTTACTGCACAGACTTAAGACATGCACTGACAGGTTAAAGCAATCGCCAGTAACCCAGTGTTGCCACACGAATTACAGTGTTGTCAGTCTCGTTATTTTATTGTCAGACCTTGTAGGCTCAATTCAGTCTCTATTCTGGCTCACCCTCATCATTTCACATGTAATTGTTCATGTTCATCACATGCTGATTGTTCTTGATATTATCTCAACATTAATTCTGTACTAACTGGAGTGTGAAGGAAAAAGTACAAGCTACCAACTTGACAATTGAACTTTCACAGTGGCTGATTGAAACCTATGTGGTGGAGGCCTTGTCCTTTGCAGACAGGCAACGCACCCGATTCCTATTGCATGGCTATAGTCAATCTCTACATGAGTGGAAAGAATATGAGCTCCCCATTCCAGGGCCAATATTTTTTTTCCTTTGTGGATTTTTCAAATGCTTATTAGTATTCAGATTCTAAAATATATTTGTCGTGCTCTGCATCTCTTGATTCTTCAGAAAATCTACAATTTTTGCCTAGAATGACACAATTCTACAGGTGCAGCTGTAGGTGGAAGGGGAATGGGATTGATACATAACAGATATCATCACGTTCTAGCATCCATCACCAACCCCCATGCAGGACAAGTTGGGAAAGGGGTATGGAATTTCCTTAAAGGGATCCTATTTCAAACATGAAACATCACCTCACACTTAGAAGTGTGAGGTGATGGTGTGAAGTATCATGTTTGTTCATCCACTCCATATCAATAAAGTTTGCTTGGCTGTACATATGAGGCAGCTTGAAGAGCAACAGTTCAGTAATCCTCTTCTGTCATGTTTTCATAGCTACATGCAAGATGTGGATAACTACAGGCCATGAGGATAGCAGTACTATGTAATATGAAGAGTAACAAAAAATCAAGTGAAAGTAACATCCAAAAGACTTTAATTATCACAAATACAAAATGGATGAAAGCCTGAGGATCAAGATTCAGACATGGAGTCATTTTCTTTCATTGAAGAAGCTTCTTCAGAGTCCTCACTATTTTCAGTCTGTTCCTTCTGCTTTCGCCATAACTTAGCCATGGCAAGAAGTTTGAGATTGGGCTTGGCTGCCTCATCTTCAGGGAAGATATAGTCAAAGTATTCCTCCCATCCAGCATCCATCTGCAACAAGTGTAAGGGAAACTAATAGTGATGAAGGTTGAAATGAGTAAGGAATTCATGAGTGGAAAAAAGGCTTACCCCATCCTGAGTCTGAATCTTCCTCCTCTTCTTCACCTTGCGTGGCATGAGTCGAGCCACCTTATCTCGTTGCTCCGGCATTCCATGTGCAGCCTCAAATCGCTGCCACTCTTCAAGGAGCATGACCCGTTCTTCCTTCACCTCTTCTCGGTCAATGTCTCTCAGAACTCCGTTACCACGTTCGAACACCTTGCGTGCTTTTTCCATCTCTCCGAGGTCAGTCTCAAAGCGAACTAAACTCAACCATACCTTGATGACAAGAATTAAAAAGTCATTTCAGTGGACTTCAGAATGCACTGGATGACAGATGTCTCAAAAAACACACCTTGACATGTTGTGTCCTCTGCAGCAACTTGACATAGATGGAACGAACCTTCTCATACTCTTCCATTTCTATTTCAAAGTCAATGTAGGCTTTCCATAGAAGCTCTGGCATATCCAGCCTGGGCTGATTAATAGCCAAATCAAAGATGGCCCTGGCTCGGGATTCATCTCCTAGAAGCCTTTCCAACTCTGCAAACTATAAAGATCCCCTCATTGAAAATGAATTAGAAGACAATTTCAAAATTGAAGGCTTTCTGCTGGCAAGAAAGCATTCTAGATTACCTTGAGCCATGTGGAACAGTTTTCAGGTGCAAATTCCAGAAACTTCTCATACAGGATGCGGCAACGATCAAATTCTCGCAGCTGAATCTCTAGCTCAATGTAGCCTCGAAAAATTTTGGCCTTTGGGCACATTCCGATTCCAGTACCCTGGGAAGAAGCACACCCATGTACACTAGAGAACATTGTAACTCTCCTTACACTATAAGGCATATCTGATGAAAACCAACCAAGACTTTGCGTGCAGCAGCCAAGTTCTTCTGTCGCACTTCAAAGTAGGCATACAGGAGCCAGACCTTGGCAAAGGTGAAGATCTTATGAGGAATCAGTGCAGTGGAAGCCTTATAGACTTCTCGAGTCCTCTCCATATCTTTAGCCTCCAGCTCTTCATACAATGCATAGTTGATCCACAAGTATATGTATCTCCTCCAATACCTCTTCTCCTACAAGTCATGGATCCTTCTCCTCTTAAAGATTTTTCTTGACAATTGAATGCAAACAATGATTAAAGGTCATTTGCTCACCTTGATCAGGGGAACATTTGCAACAGCACGTTCATAAGTCTCTCGTATGACCTCACTGTTTCCTTCACTCTCAACCAACCGCAAGTAATCAAACCAAGCATCATAATTCATCGGATTGGTTCGGACTTCCTGTTACAAGAAGATTGAATTACAGACTCAAAGTACAAGAGTCCATGAAACATAAAATATACAATGAACCAGAATATACCTCCTCATAGGCGAATTTTCGCTTGCTGACAATCACATCCTCAATCCCAGCTTTCTCACCATATTTCTTCTCATGGATTGTGTACTGTTTGTACAGCTCCTCGCATCTATCTTTTGGGATGTTGTCCAGAGCATACTTGTATATAACTCGAGCTCTGTCATGCTGTAAGGGATATGAACACAAGAATAAGCAACCTGCAGCAGCAGGAAATCCATCAGATTGGGAAAGGAACTTCTCGAACCTCTTTCTGGCCCTCCTCAAACTTGGCAAAAGCAATGAAGAGTCGTTCATCCAAGTGGTCATCCCCAAAGAAGCTCACTGCCCTCTCATAGATGCGCCTTGCATTCTGAATATAGCCATTGCTTTCTTCAAACCTGCAAAAGATGTCATGGTACATATTTAAGTATGTTGAAGAGGCAGTCTACATTCATTTAAAACCATGTGATACTTGCCTGGCATATCTTATCCAGTTCTTCACATCAGGATGGACCATGACAAAACGCTCATAGAGAGTTCTTGCTCTGTCCAGCTCCTTGTATCTTAACTCAAACTTGATGTATGTCTGCCAAGCCTGCTCATCAGGCTCCCACATCATCCATCGTTCAAAGACTTGCCTTGCCCCTATAATAATAACCCATTGCCCACACAAATCATAATCCCGTAAAGCAATCAAGATGAAAGAAACAAGTGTAACTAATCCTTCAATTCTGACAAATAACTACATGGACTGGTACCTGCAATGTTTCCAAGGACCTCTTCCATGTAGGTATACTTGTACCAAAATTGGTTGGCTCTTGGGAGGACTGTGACAGACCGATCCCACAAGTTCCGAGCATGATTCACCTGCTTGTTTCTCATCTCCATCTCCGTGTACTTGAGCCATAGGGTAATATTTCGATGGTCCACATCCAGTGCTCTTTCGAAGACACTCCGTGCTCTACATAGAAGTAATGTTCATATCACACTCTCAGGGGATCCGCTGGTTCGAGTTCAAGGCAATGTTGAAAAGGTCCTGACATAATACTCACCTCTGAATTTCTCTCTGACTCTCTTCCCATTGTGCATACTTGATCCAGTTTGATATCAAACCTCTATTCTTTCGGATGTTGTCTTCAAACTGTTTTCTCTTTCTCATGCGATAGTCTCGCAACTCCTCTGGGTCAGATATCTTTTGCTTTGGAGGCTATTCACAAAAGAAAGGGACATCAACATCTACCACATCTGTTATAACTACAGTGCAATTGTAAATGCATCACTGTAATCATAAAAATGACTCACAGGAGGAACAATTTCCAAGTCCCTTTCCTTAGCTTCTCGGAGGAGCTGTTCAGCTGTGATTTGTATCTCAGCTGGTGCCTTGTTTTTCACCTGAAATATAAAATATATACTCTATATATATAGACTCTACTCCTACCTCAGCAAGTGAACCAGAGCACTTGAAATATATACAGAAGTAACCACTTAAAAAATTAAGACCAATGGAGTTCTAGTCATTTAGTTTTTTTTTTTCAGCCTTTCCAGTTATTAGTCTTGAGTATATCCACGGTGTCAGATGTGATATCTGGAGTAATATTTTTGGTATACAAAATGTATTTAACTATATTATGGCTGACAAATCAGCATATAAAGGCTGTTACAATTTGCTTTGGGTGGAGACAGAAAATTCCATAATCCAAAGTCTTGCACTCTCTCTTGTTAAGAGGTGTACCTTTGTGCAAAGAAAAGTGACGGATGTGACATTTTGTGAACCTCAAGTTTACGTCACTTGCACTAACGTTCTCATATCTGTCATCAAGCGGATCCTAATAATTTAGTTTCGTGTTCATTCTATAGATGGAATGAACACCTGGAATTAATTTAAGTCACCCCAAGATCAAAACAATTGAAACAAAAAATAAGCCAATTTTGTGATGGTGTCGGATGTGACATGTTCCAAAAATGTATTTTGAAACGAGAAGTCTATACATATATATTTATTTTATTTATTAAAGATATCATTCAAATGTCAACAATTGAGATCTTCTCTTCACACCTGACCCGATTTTAAATTATCAGTGCATGGAAAGCCCATGCTGCATCTCTTCCAGTAGTCTAATTCTGTCTCTCCAGATGTGCATTTTCATCACATTTTTGAGTATCATGAGAGTGGTATGAATAATATATAATAATTATGAATAATTCTTTCATTTTTCAATGTAATATTCTCTTTCACTCGTGTCTTCTAGGAAAAGAGATGATGAACTTCTGTAGCGAATGTGAAATTTGCATAGTTAGGAAAATTTCTGGCTAAAATTCTAGGACCACTTGGCAATGACTCTTGTGAGAAAAGAGGCAAAAGTTAGATAAACTCTCACTCAGACTTGCAAAAAAAAAAAGAAGCCATGTAACCCTGATGATATCAGCTCAAGGCTTCTCTGGTTCTCTGCTCCATGAACCTCTTCATCCCTATAACCCTAATACCATTAACTCTTCAACTTATTTCTTTCTGCAGCAAAGGTTCCAGATATATCTAAAAAAAAATCCCATTGATGTTATACCAATTAAAAATCTCGGACCAGAAAATCATGTTTAAAATTAACTACCTATACACAAGTATATACTATACACTATATAGTATAGTGCCCCCAGGCTTGATTTTAACCTCTCAATTGTTTATTCCACACATCAGGAACCTTTTTGAGTGATCTTTCTGAGATTATTCATATTTCATCAACACCTTTTCTATGGTAAATATTTTTTTTTTCATCAGAGCCACCACAAAATTTTTTTTTGATAAGGACTCCCCCAGCTCAGTAATCTGGAGTCTTAATTCAATGGCAACCTTATCTCTCTGAATACCTCATTAACTCTTATGGTCTCTAATCATGGAAACCCTGCAAATAGATCGCTTGCATGAGTACTCAATTAGCAGTGAGGGTCTTTTCATATTTGTATCAAGTTCTCAATATTAATTTTCACAAGACTGAGATGACCTAGCATGAAAAACATGGATCCCATTTGCAGTAAAAAAAAAAAAAAATGTGGTAAAGGATGAGAAGGAATTCAATGACTGTGGGATGATTCAAAGCAGGAGAGTGGCAAAAAAAGGATGAATGAAAAACACTAAGCTATTAAATTATTCTTCATATCGTGAAGACCAATATGAATCTTTCAAGGGGAATGCACTGCTGATTACTCCAAACATGGCCATAAAAAAAAAGTTTTATATATTTTTATTGAAGGAAAATTTTGAATTTAACAAGGCGGCATTTATTTAGGGCACTATTCTTTATCTCCTCTTTATGATGAGTACAGAATCTTTGCCCTTAGTTTTTACTTTCTGGAAGCAGGAGTTAAACAATTTTTAAAATACCTTTTAGCAAGCTAGAGGCAGTCTGATCCAATCATAAAATAAATTAGGGTAGAAGGTACATTTACACATTTCATCTATAAATGTGACTCATGCAATGCGCATATCATTCAAGATAGTTACATTTTACAGTAAGGAGTAATTTCTTGGAGATTTTCCTTGGCCTCTTAATGTCATTCTGAACACATGAAGCAGCTTATTGCATCTCAAAAAACTTAAGTAGTTAATATATTTTCCTTTTCATCATACCCTAAGCACCTTTAGTTGCTGAACTTGATATGTCTTGAAAATTCAAAAAGATTCTGCCAATCACCACCAGTCTAATGAATCTTTACTTTCATAGTTTTAAATTTTGGAAGGCACTTCTATCTGTTATACCCATCACAGCTCACAAGCATTCTGCCCAAACTTTAAAAGTAAAATATGTAAAATTGTCCACCAAGACTTTATGTTAATGCTTCAGCTGGGGTACAAACTTCCTATTCCACCCATGAGGTGGCGAAATTCTATCTCCCTTCCTGCATCAGACTTAAACTGCACCATTTCCATTTACCGGAGCCAACTTGACCTTGTTTCCATGTTTTCCTGGTGCAATTTCAAACCTCTTTTACATCTCTCTTCTGTTTTCTGCCTTCTTAACATAGCCTACTTAATACACATAATCTTATTATGTGATATCAGCTGATCCTACGGTACTTAGCATTGTTCCTCTGCCCTCTAATTATATGGGAATAAAATTATGGTTATTACATCGCAATAAGACTCTTCATAATTACATTGCAATAAGACAATTCGAAATTGGTAACTCACCTTGGCCACCTTAGGCATTTTGGTGGCCTTTCCACCAATTGGAGCATCCATCCCGTCAAATAAGGGGACTCACGACCTGGTAATAATTCGAAGTCAGGAAAGTGATGATGACCGTTCGTAGGATGATAATGCTTTCGATCCTGGCGTTTTTAGTGCGCCGCCATGACACTGGCAGGGAGGTCAAGACAGCAGTGTTGCTCATCCGACCATTCAAGAAAAAGGCTATCGGCTGATCACCAACTAGATAGGATAAATTATGCAGGAAAATCAATGCTAAGATTACATCGATATTCATTCCACGCACCTACCAGCCAAGCGGAAGTAACATGAGAATGGCAGGATTGGAAGCGATCTCTCCCAGCAGAAGCAAGAAGTATGGCTTCAACAGGTTTTCCGCTAGATGGCAGTGAAAGTAAGGTGCTATGTAGACGTGGGGTCAGAAAGTCGCGCTGCCGTAGCGTTATTCCTCTCTAGGCAACAATTTACCTTTCCTTCCTTTCCTAGTCTCTGGAGCCGGCCAATGAGCTATTGAATGGAAGGCCCTGGCCTCAGAAGTTGCGTTTACTCGCTTGCATTCATTCCTTATGTGGCACACCGGAAGCTCTTTCAGTTAACCGCTTTTTATAGCATTCCTGAAATATTTCTCGGAATCTGAAAGTGACGCATCAGTGTGCAACTTGAGTTCTGCAGCCATCTCGACAGACAACTGCACCAGTCATAAACGGAATGCGTGAGCGTGGACGGAAGCTCCGATAGTGTTAATATGCGTCAGGCAGCCGGAAGAGGACCCCGCCTCCTCCCACTCCCTCCCCCCGCCCCACGACTAGCTTTGCAAAGCGCACAGGATTGGGTATATATAAACTCAAGTCCCCGCGAACATCGGCTTATTCACGATAGATGACTCAATCGTTCCTCGAAATTTCGGCATGTCACAGTTTTAAGCCATGAAATTCAGGTCGTTTCTCTAGTGCCGTGCTCAACAAGTGCCATGGGTAAAAAGGGCCACAACCGTCACCACGATCCCCGGACTTCACAGGCAGCGTGGCATCGGAGGGACAGTTTGACTTTATCCGTGTAGTGAATGTGCCGGGTTGATCTCTTCCAGTGTAAACTATAATATATTTAGTAGTAATTACCGGGGAAACGGGTCTCATGGATGTTCTCACCCGCTATGCCCGACGGCGACCGTGTGGGAACGAACATCCGTCGCTAGACGCTTTTTTTTAACCGTCTCGACCGTTCGTCGCGTGATTTGGCTCGGTGTTTCTTCGTCGTTTTTTCCGCCGCGATCCGACGTCGATGCCAGACGGTCACCGCGGTAATCGCGAGCGTGACCGGCAGCACCGCCCCCGTGCGAGGATCGACCGAGTCTCATTGCCTAGTCACGCGGACGCATTCCAAGAGAAAAACGCCCGTCGTGTTTTTCGGGGAAGCTTTTGCAAACCACGATTTATCTCGTCCTCCCCGATCTCTCTCGCCCCCCTCTTTCCTCCTTCCCCGCCGGAGGGAAAACTGCACGGCCGAAGCAGCGGCCATTCACAGGTCCAGGGATGAGAGCGATTGGGGGGGGGGGGGGGGGGGGGAAGGGGGGGGAACGTCAAGAAGCCATTGGCCATTATGGATTACAACAGAGGCAAGGCGTTGGGGGGGGGGGGGGGGGGGGGGGGGGGGGGGGGGGGGAGAGCGAAGGGGAGAGAAAGCGAGTGAAGCTTGGGGCTGTCTGGCCGGGTTGCAGTGTGCCACGGCAGAGGGCCCTTCCCCACTCAGTCCGTTGGCGGGAACCGGGCAGGCCGCAGGGCCGGGGGCGTCCTGTGCGTGGCCTTCAATCCGAGCCCGCCATTTGCTTCCGTTGTGACACCGACACTATCATCCACCCCAGTTCCCTCCCCGGGTTTTTTTGTCCTTTCATTGCCTCTGTGTTCCCATTGTCGATCGTTCCCTTCTGTGTGCGTGTTCGAACTCGCGTCGATAGCCTATTTTCCCGCTTTACGGCCGGCTTCGCAGGTTAAGGCTTCGTCGGTTACCTTCGCTGCAGGTCGCATCGAACACAGGTCGTAAAAATCGGCGCAGATTCACGATCGCCTCGCCAGACGTGCATGCCGATAAACAGGTCTAGCCGAGTTGTCTTTTTTTTTTTTGAAATCCTTGTTTTTCTGTTGATAGTCTAGCTACGCTAGCCTCGCACTAGGTCTAACGTTAGCTCTTGCCCTTGAAGGCTGGACACACTGGGTCCTGCCTTTCTCTTAAGGATATTGACAAATTAGAAGCGATCCCGCTCTGCGTTCGAGGTAATGATTGCCAGACCGACCCACCGAGGAAAATACTTGTTTCCTTGTCTGAGTCACCCGAAGGTTGACTGAAATTAGGTTTAGTAAATAGGCTCATGAATAAGGGACCTGTCGCGTCTAGAGATAAGCTGAAGTGATTTAGTATGTATATACGTCTGTATCGATTCCGATCGCGACATTTATTGACAGTGCATTGCAGACCCTCACGCGTGAAATACCCGCATAGACACCCCTGAATTTCGTTGTTTTTTTTTTTAAATTGCAGATCTCACAAAGCTAACCTAGCCCAGACCAGGAACCGACTAAGATGGGCATCTCGGCCAGCAAGCGCTCCGTGGACATCACCAAGAGCCCCGACAAGAAGCTCAAGGACGTGAAGGACGTGAAAGACGTGAAGGAAGACAAAGAGAACGAATCCCCCGAAGTGAACGAAGTGGAGAAGGAGAAGGAGGAGGACGCGGAGAACGAGAAGCCCATGACCAATGGAGAAGCTCACTCGTCACCAGAAGGGAAGGTGAGGAAAGCAAAGCAAAACCCCCCCCACCCCCCCCCCCTAAAAAAAAAGTGGAAAAGAGAAAAGACAGGGATGGGGCACTGGTTCGTTTCACTCTTTTTCCAGACCGGGAAAGAGAAGGAAGACAACGACAAGGATAAGGAGAAGGAAAAGGAAAAGGACAAGGACAAGAAGGTGAAGAAGAAGCGATCGTTCCGGAGTTTCAGCTTCCTCAAGAGAAAGGAGAAGTCCAAAGAGAACGGTCAGGTGGAGAAGCAAGAGGTTCGTTCCGTTCCTTTATTATTTTCGTTCTGTATAGATTCCCGAGCGTGTGCACGACCCGATGAGGTTTTCATCCCCTCATCCCATTATTCAGTAGCCGTGCGAATGATTCCAGCTGAGTCATCAAACGCCTTATCGTCTGGCTAGGACGAGTAAGTACGGGTTGGAAGGGACGTGAAAGAACGGATCGAGCGCCGAGACCACAACACGAGCGAGGTTGTCTGGCAACACGGTTACTTGTGCGGTTATTTGCACGGTTTCCGGCTCGGGTTTCGTTCCGTGTCGGGCGTTTTTCCCGCGAGATTGCGGTCGCACCGGTGCGATCCTTTTTTCTATCTCGTTTTCGGTCTTCATTTCTCCAAAGCAGCGACACGAAGATCATGAGATCACGCAATGCCCCCGAGGGATGTAGAGAATCCTTTGTCTGGAATTAGATACTTATCATTATTGTAGTCTTGAGGTCCTTTGGATCAGATCGTGTCCCTGTGAAGGGGGAATGCCGGTACTCGAAATACCGGTTCCATGACCGCCCACATGTTTTCTTCCCTCGTTAATATGCACGCTGTTGTCATGTGCCCCTGAATGTTGCACCGTCCGCGTCGACAGCCGGTATCGACCCGGAACACCTGGTCGACCCGATTTCCCCTTTCCACGCAACACGTGGGGGGATCGATGGGGTCAGACGGGGGAAAGGTCTCATCGGAATGCACGGCAGATAACGCCGCTTTTTAAACTTTAAATGGCTCCCCTCGTAAAAGCGGATGGATCCCCGGGAGAAGTGCCCGGTCGTTCATCTCGGACTTCTTTCAGGTATTTTATATCAGCCCTTCGTCCCCGGTTTTATTTTCCGAGGGTGAAAAGAGACGCTTGCGTGCATCTCCCAGCAGATGTCCCCATCCTCTCCCCTTTCGATTCGATTCGTAGGGGGCGGGAGAGGGGGAGAATATGATAATGAAGAGGTGCCTGGGTCGAGTTTGTGGAGTAGACCTAGGCCCGGCTCACCCCTCCGCTCTTTATGGGTTCTTCATCCCTGAGCCTGGGAAATCGATAGTGGGTACATGCATGCACACTGGCTGGGTTCAATCCCAGGGATGAACGTTTGGGGGAGAGGGAAGAGGGGGTTCTGGGTCCGTGACGTCATCCGGCAAATTGCGAGTCTCTCCCTCGGAACGTCCGCTTTTCTCCCTCTTAATCGAGTAATTGAGCGAATGGAAAAAGAGCGGGTTATTTGCTTCCATATTCATATTACGTGAGCCCGCATAGTCCGATTAGCTTTGACGGTTAAAGGCCCCGAAGTCTATTGTGCCCGTTTTGGGGTTTCACTCCCCCATTTGCAATGATCTTTCCGCGAGGTGATTTTGGGGTGGCATGCTCCGGATCCATTTGATAGGAAATCGACCCGATTTCGCAGTGCCCGACTATGGGAATGGGGGCAAGGGATGTTTTTTTTTTTTGCCGGGGTATGTTAACTGATAACACGAAAGGCGTGTTTGCGGAGTTTCCTTACCGGGATACGAGTTACATTCGTTTTTGCCTGTTTGTTCCTTGTGTGTGCAGAGGGGTTGGAAAGCGGATCGAGGAACTCTTTATCAGTTAGTGTCAAAAGGGTGGAAATGGGGAAGGGAAGAGATGCCCTCGAGGGCAATCCTGCAAACCTGCCAAACGGGACGACGCCAGACTTTTTTTTCTTCTTTTTCCTTTAGTATTTCCATGACCTTCATCGGTCGTCTTACATACCGTTGTTTATTGCCAACTGGGAGAGAGGGTGGGGGGGAGGAAGGGATGTTTGTCACCAGACGTCCTTCATTACGGAGCCGAAAGGGAATAGTCTCCTTGTTAGAGTGAAGACGCCACAGCTGAGAACGTTAAAGGAGAAAAAAAAAACGAGAAAGTTTCGAGAGAAGCCCCCGGGTTCAGACTCGTTTCTGTGCAATCCGGGCTGCACTTTGCACCCGCGAAAGCCTAGTCGTGGAACATGTGCTCCGTGCAGCGTTTCCAATCCATTCCCTCTGTTTGCCTTTCTTCTGCCTCCCACAATACGTCGGGGGAAGTCGAGCCGAGAGAAAAGGAGAGAGATTAAACCCTCGATGGGAGGTCAAAAGGGAGATTCCCTCGTCGGCCCGGGCTATTTTTGGCTTTCGGCAGGTGCTTTTTCTGATAAATCCCCTCCGCTTGTTTCTCTCCCCGGCGTGACGTCCTATCTGTCGTCTCCTTCGCTGTTCGGGATCGCACGTTTCTCGCTAATGACCTCGAACGCGGAAAGGCCTCGCTCGCGTTCCGTCGATGGAAGCGGGAATGCGAAGACTGCGGACGTGACGGATCGGTAGGTGGGAGTGGAAAGTCGTGTGGAGGTCTAGGCCAACCCCTGTAGGGGAATGTCTGGTGTATACCGGGCGCGGACATAAAAAAGGCCAAGTTGTTATTTTCCCATGCCAGATGCACCCACGCCCGATTGGGGGGGGGGGGGGGGGGGGGGGCCGCCCCCCC